AAAATATATGTGGACGTCAATGCAAATTTCGCCACGTCACTCCTGACGAATTGATCACCATGATTGACGAATTGACATTTGATTCACTCCACGTGTCAAAAAGATTTGTAGCCTAACTTTTTTTCTTCAATTTTTAACAGGATCAAGATAACATAGTATAATATAGGACGATCTCTGGATTTCTCTTCTTATCTCATATAGCTAGGCCAGATGAACAGTTTCTTGGATCGGGAGATATGCCCATGCTTGCTACCATCTCATCTTCCATCATGCATGCTTCAGCAATGTGTGGAAAATAAAATATAATATAATATAAATGTACGTTGTTCACAAATATGATGTATGTTCGTTAGTTTTGCGATAAATAAAAAGCTATATAATAAGAACAATTCCTAAATGAAAATGTCAGAACACTTTAGTTCAATATGGAAACAGAAAAGGATACTCAGGTTCATTGTATTGAGGAAAGTACAAATTACAATGATATTCCACATGACTTACAATCGGTCGACAATAGATAGTTAGATACCCAGATTTCAAATTTATAGCAACACAAGCTCTTGCTTAAATCTCAAATACCATGGTTGGTCATAAATAAAATTGTTCTTTTATAATAACCACTCGTTTTACACTTTCATGTCGCTAGATTTATCGTACATGGCAAATAATTTATTGTATTTTAGCCTAAATTAGATGATGCATTGGTGTTTATTATTCCTTTAGCTGACATGTCACTAACTCAACGATTAAGAGATAGTTTAAGGACACACATGAGAGACCTAACAAAAATGGACGGATAGTGAGTAATGGTAAAACGAAAAAATGTAAAGTAAATAGCTATATAAGGTGTTTGTATCGTGAGTGACCTGTTGTGCAGTTTAACCTACTAAAATTGAGATCACATTTTGTTACATGCCAACAAGAAAGGTGGAAGAAAAGAAAGATAAACCTAAATTAAGTGACAGACCTAGAAATCTGAGTAAGTACACTAGAAGAATTAATAGAAAGGAAATTGAACCCTTACATGTTGAAAAAGGAGGCCGGAGACTTACCAACCATTGTTTTTCTATAAACTTGGTACAAATTATTTACGTTCTTTAGCTACTTTTGAAAGTTGAGTGGGTGACTTTACTATAGTGAATAATTGAAAATTTGGGTAAATGGACAAATAACTTGTCATTTTTATCTCTTCATCTAAACACGAAGAAAGTTCGGAACAATATAAATGGTGGTGCCACTAAGCACTAAACCCTATTGCGTGAAAGATGGGATCGGATGAGTGCCAAGAATGATAGTAAGGAGTTTAGTGCTTTGTGGATGACAATGTGAGTCTATGATTGCTAATCTTGTCGTTGGAGATGGGGATGAGAGTCAATCTTAATCGAGTCCGTTCATTATTAAGATCATGAGTTCAATTCGAACTTAACTCGTGAATACTTCAATTCATAATCTAAATTCTAAAATAATTTATTAATAAAAAAAAATATAATGTTTGGTCACATTTAGTCAATGTATTAAGGCATTATATGAAATGAGATATATAATTTAAAAAATTGGTGAATTATCAACAAGACAATTCATAAATTACAGACTTATTTTTCATAACCCGATAATCGAGTTGGTCCGCCAGTCACAATATTGATACATCTCATGGATTCAAAACGAGACCGTACACATATTAAATTTAACTAACCACCAAGTCGAACTAGTCCACAAGCCTCTCTCACAAGCTGAACAAAATTTAATTCACACTATTCGTTGATAAACAGATCAAACGATTAACACCGACTTTTTTAATCATATAAAGCGACTTTAATTACAGTGCTTAAAGAACAGTCAGAAAGTCAAAAGGCATTATCACTTCAGTTCCTGCACAGCACCGCTATATAATGCTGCCAAACATCTTACACTACATGCCTCACAACAAGCACCAAACCCCTCCCTCTTCCTCCGATCCATCACAAAACAATGGCGGACAACCAGCACAAGCGGATAGCGATCATCGGCGCAGGAATCAGCGGCCTCCTCGCCTGCAAATACGCCCTCTCCAAGGGCTTCCACCCAACCGTCTTCGAGGCCCAGCCCGGCATCGGAGGCCTCTGGAACAAGACTCTGTCCACCACCAAGCTCCAAACCCCAAAACCAGTCTACCAATTCTCCGACTTCCCATGGCCCGATTCCGTCACCACCGATTTCCCCGATCACGATCAGGTCCTCGACTACCTCCGGTCCTACGCCGACCACTTCCACCTCACCGATCACATCAAATTCAACGCCAGAGTCCTCCGCATCGAATACAGGGGAGTTGGGGACGACGAGATGGAAGCCTGGCACTTGTGGGGAGGAAACGGAGAGGCTTTCAGCGGCAGGGGAGGGAAATGGGAAATTGAATTTTCGAGCAATAATGGGTCGGAGAGTGAAGTTTTTGAAGCCGATTTTGTTGTACTGTGCATGGGGAAGTACAGCGATGTCCCGAATATCCCCAAATTCGCTCCTGGAAAGGGACCTGAAGCGTTTCAGGGGAGAGTGATTCATTCCATGGAGTATTCTGATTTGAAAACAGGGGAAATTGAGGAGCTGGTGAAGGGGAAGAGAGTCGCTGTCGTTGGGTTGCAGAAACATGCTCTGGATATCGCCATGGAGTGCTCTGAAATCAACGGTTCGTAAATCGTACGAATTGAGAAGAATTGATTCGTGGAATCTCGTAACTCTGACTCTCTGTGTATGGTTTTTTTGTTGCAGGGAAGGAAAGTCCGTGCAGGGTAATTTACAGAACAGAGCATTGGAACGTCCCTGATTACATGCCGTGGGGTTTCCCTCTTGCGAAGCTGTATCTCAACCGATTTGCGGAGCTATTGATTCATAAACCTGGAGAAGGGCTATTACTCAGTCTTCTGGCCACAATTCTTTCTCCTATTGTAAGCTAAACTCCATAATTAAACCAATCGGAATTTGGGAAGTGGAAACATTAACTTATAGTATAATACTCTGTTTTTGCTCCGTTTTTTAATATGAAAACAGTGTCAAAACAGAGTGGAAACCTTAACTGATAGTATAATACTCTGTTTTTGCTCTGTTTTTTATCTGAAAACAGAGATGGGCGATCTATAAATTCGTCGAAAGCGATATCAAGCACAGGCATCGATTGGCAAAACACGGGATGGTTCCAAAGCACAGCTTTCTCACGGCGATCAGTACTTGTCTGCTTTCGACGGTCCCGGAGAAATTCTACGACAGGGTGGAAGAAGGAAGCATCGTGCTGAAGAAAGCTCCGAACTTTAGCTTCTGTAAGGAAGGAATCAAGGTCGAAGGTGGGGATAAGGAAGAACCGCCGTTGGATGTCGATGTGGTGATACTGGCAACGGGTTTCATCGGAGAGAAGAAGCTGCAGAACATCTTCGGATCGAAACGTTTCGGGGAAATCGTCGTGGGGAGTCCAGACGGCGTCGTTCCGCTCTACAGGGGTTGCGTTCCGCCGAGGATTCCGCAGCTGGCGGTGCTGGGATACTCGGAGAGCATCACGAACCTGTTCACGTCGGAGATGAGGAGCCGGTGGCTGGCGGAGCTTCTCGACGGGAAGTTCAAGCTGCCGGCGATCAAGGAGATGGAGAGTGAGGCGGCGGAGTGGGATGCGTTTTTCAAGGAATACGGCCGCCAGTTTTACAAGAGGGCTTCCATTAGCATCGTCCATATATGGTACAACGACCAGCTCTGCAAGGATATGGGCTGGAACCCGAGGAGGAAGAATGGGCTTTGGGCCGAACTGTTTGAGCCTTACGGCCCAGCCGATTACGTTTTCCCTTGATATTTGATAAGGGAATTCTGTACTTAAGCTAACGGTTTGGTCCATACAGGATCGGACCGAGACAAACCGATATTCAGATCGGACTATACCGAACTGAATATAATATAATAAATAATTATTTTCGGTAAAATCCATTTCCAATACTGCCAACGACGGCGGGTCCACGATCGTCCGGCCGTAATTGTCACGACGGCGATACCACAATGGGGCAACCAATAATTGTAGGGGGGGGGAAATTCAGTATCCCATTCTCTGGGACCTTCTGCATGCGATTCAATGGATACACACAACAATAATGATAATGATAAGTTTAGGCGGTTCATCTATACGATTGTGTGGTAACTAATTCGTGAATAGGAGAGATAAGTTGTACTAAATCGAAAGAAAGTACCAATTACAAGGATCGAGAAGGTTATATATAAAAGCACCTTCTCTAAATTCTAGATGGAAAATTCAAAACACTTGATCTGACTGGAAGTGAGAAAAGGATAATCAGTTTCACGGTGTGGGTGAGAGTGCAAATTATAACGATGTTCTCGTGTTTTCCAGTCGATGATATGTATCTAGATTTCGAGTTAGAGCAGCACAATGTTTGCTATTGATCAGCGTACATCCCACTTCACTACATTTACCGTACATGGCACTCACTCAACGTAAAAAAAAAAAAAACAATAGGTGACCGACACATAGTACAAATTTAATGAAAATGAACAAATAGCTAGCGAACAATAGTGAAAAAGAAAAGAAACTGTAAGCTGCTGATATAAAGGAGTTTGTATTTTGTACAACGAGTGGCTCGTAGTATGCAGTTTTAGCCTACCAAATCGTGACAACATTTTTTTTGCATATGGAAGGAAAGAAAGATAGAGGCGGTGCAATATTCCGCAACTTTTTCTAACAAGACTCTAACCGATTTCAATTTGAGGTGTGCATTTCGAGATGACTTCTCCAACAACATTCATCATTACAGTGCTCCACACTATGTACGTTTAATTTATGTGTTGTTATAAAAATTTGTTCATTTCACTCCAAAAAATTCGAGCTAGGAAGACAATAATAAATACAAAGAAAGTCTAAAATGCATTATCACTTCAGTACCTTAGGACCGCTATATAGTGCTGCCAAGCCCTCCTTATGCAGCTATCTGCATCAAAATTCACAAGCAAATACCCTGTTCTCTGCTCCATCACAAACAATGGCGGATGACCATCAGAAGCGGATAGCGATCATCGGAGCAGGAATCAGCGGCCTCCTCGCCTGCAAATACGCCCTCTCCAAGGGCTTCCACCCAACAGTCTTTGAAGCCCGAAGCAGCATCGGCGGAGTCTGGAGAAAAACTCTGTCCACCACCAGGCTCCAATCCCCAAAATCAGTCTACCAATTCTCCGACTTCCCCTGGCCGGATTCCGTCACCGCCGAATTCCCATCTCAGGATGAGGTCCTCGGTTACATCCAAGCCTACGCCGCCCACTTCGGCCTGGCGAAGCACATCAAGTTCAACACCAAAGTTCTCAGCATCAACTATAGTGGAGCGGCAGAGGACGAGACGGCAGCCGGCGACGTTTCGAGCTCCGACGGGAAATGGGAGGTGGAATTCTCCAGTGGGACAGAATCTTTGGCAGGGAGTGAAGTTTTCGAAGCTGATTTTGTTGTACTGTGCGTGGGGAAGTACAGCGGCGTGCCGAATATCCCTGAATTCGCTCCTGGAAAGGAACCTGAAGCGTTTCAGGGGAGAGTGATTCATTCCATGGAGTACACCGATCTAAAGCCAGAGCAATGTAAAGATCTGGTGGAAGGGAAGAGAGTCGCCGTCGTTGGGTTTCAGAAACACGCTCTGGATATCGCTATGGAGTGCTCTGCAATCAACGGTGCCCTGCTACTCTCTCTGCTCTGTTTTTCATTATTGACCCTGTTTTGACGAAATTGGTTTGCAGGAAAGGAGAATCCTTGCAAATTGCTGTACAGAACAGAGCACTGGAACGTCCCTGATTACTTGCCGTGGGGGATCCCTCTGCCGAAACTCTATTTCACTCGCTTTGCGGAGCTATTAGTGCACAAACCAGGGGAAGGCCTCTTGCTCAGCTTTCTGGCAACAGTTCTCTCCCCAATTGTGAGTTGATTGAAATGAATTTAAATCACATATAACTAGTTCTTCTTCTGCTTTGTCAATGCTCTGCTTTCTAATGTTTGGGGGGCGGGCATTTTATTGCTCGAATCAGAGATGGGCGATGTCCAAATTCGTGGAGACCGACATCAAGCACAAGCATCGATTGGCGAAATACGGGATGGTACCAAAACAGAGCTTTCTTCAGGAACTGAGTACGTGCTTGATCTCGACGGTCCCTGAGAAATTCTACGACCGCGTGGAAGAAGGGAGCATCGTGCTGAAGAAAGCTCCGAGCTTTAATTTCTGTCAGGAAGGGATCGAAATCGATCAAATTCAACAGCCGGTAATTGAGGCCGACGTGGTGATATTCGCCACCGGATTCAGAGGCGAAAAGAAGCTCCAGGACATCTTCCGGTCGAAACGTTTCGGGGAAATCGTCGTCGGCTCTCCGAACGCCGTCGTACCTCTCTACAGGGAATGCCTTCCTCCGAGGATTCCGCAGCTGGCGGTGCTGGGGTTCTCGGAGAGCATCTCGAACTTGTTCTCGTCGGAGATAAGGAGCCGGTGGCTGTCGGAGCTTCTCGACGGGAAGTTTAAGCTGCCGGCGATCAAGGAGATGGAAGAGGAGGCGGCGAAGTGGGACGAGTACTTCAAGAGATATGGCGGGGAGTTCTACCGGAGGTCCTGCGTTGGCGCGCTGCATATATGGCACAACGACCAGCTGTGCAGGGATATGGGCTGGAAGCCGAAGAGAAAGAATGGGCTTTGGGCTGAGTTGTTCGAGCCTTATGGCCCAATGGACTACGTCTGCTCTTGATCAGGACATTTTATGTGTAAATTATTAATTACATATTTGCCACTCTTTTGTTCGAAATTATAAGGCCTTCAGTCACTAAAGATTAGTGGTAGGGATGGCAATTTACCCACCCATGGGTATTTTTGCCCAAACCCAATTATATCCATTTATATGGGTTGGGTATGGATTTATTCTATTTGGATTTGGATAATATTTGGGTAGGTGGAGTTGGGTTTGGATTTTATTTTTGGGTATGGATTGGGCTTGGGTACCCATCTCCTTGGACCTACCTGTATATGTTTTTTTTATTAGATGTTAAAATATAAAACAAAATTTTTAATGTATTAAAATGTAATTTTCCACACATGATGCTGGACCTATTTGTATCTTCTTAAAAACTTCAGGTACTAAAATGTAACTTCTGCTACAGCGAGTCAGCGACCATCGTGTTCCAGCTCTTCGTCGGCTGTTTCGACGGTGCCGGACGTCGATGCCTCCGCTTCCGACTGACAGGCGAGGATGATGCCGCCGGACGCCGGTGCTCTCCGGAAGCTGGTGGGTGGTGGGGATTTCACCCGGCGGCGAGGCTCCAGCGGGGATGCTATCGGAGGACTCGGTGTTGATGATGGAGGAAGAATCAGAATCGCCGCCGTCGTCGTCCTCCGGCCGGTCATCGATCTGGGATCTAGCTAGGATCGGTCCGACGTCATCATCAACACCGAGTCGTCCTCCGGCCGGTCATATGATGTTCTGGACCCGAAATTGGAAACTCAATTCCAAGTGAAAGTCCTGAAAATATGGGAGAATTAATTAACCTGCTAGTATGCTACTGTCAAAAATATGGAAAGTGACAAAACGTCCACTATCCACAAAATATATCAACCTGCTAGTCTGCTACTGTGAAATAGTCAAGAGGTAAGTTAACAAGTGAACACAAGACAACTGATGGAAGCCAAGGAAGGGGAAAAGTGAACACAATACAAGCATCCAGAAACCAAACTTTGAATTTGCCAAACTGTCCCTCCTACTCAGATTGTATTCATCATCCATTCCTATATTCCACTAGGAGAAAAAGAAAAGTTGATCACCAATGTCCTTAATCAATTTAAACACAAGAGCCAAGGTGAAACCCTGCCCTTTGTACTCCAGTTCATTTCAGGCAAACCCCAAGTCCATTCATTCCAAGCCTCCACAGAAACATAAACCTATTAACAAGCAGGAAACATAAATCTAGAGAATAGTACACCTTTCTCAATACAATATTGCATCCCATCTATTAACAAATAGGACCTGGGTTCACAAGCAGGAAACATAAACTCATAAGGTGTGAACCCTGATGTCAAATGCGCCAATCTGCAGCCTGGAAACAAGCTCTGCCTAGGAAAAAATTAATTAAGAACCCTACCAACCTTTATATTTGCATATAGATCAACCACAACCATGCTCAACAATATCCTAACTAAGTTTGACCTCAATGTCTCTGTCATTCATAGACGACTCGTAGGTCTAATAAGTAAGTCGAGTTTAACGATGTAGCCTTTCTATCTACCATATCATTATATTAGATTATCATACAAATAGGACCTGGGTTTTGCAACCCAGAAAACAGGACTACTGGAAGACAAAAGGACAGGGGAATGTGATGGAAAACTAGTTGAAAAGGAAAGGTATAAACAGAATCAAAATGAGTGTTTCCAAGCAAAACCAAGCAAAACAGACGTTGGACACGTTCAGCAACCAAACAAGCAGCAAACGTTGCCAATCACATTTTCCATTAACATTAAACTTTCATTCAAGCTAAAAACCAATCACAGTTCATACCCAATTCACAACTAAGACCCATTCAGAAACCCTTTCCCCTGAATAAATCCTCTGAACAGAGTTCATAAGACCCAGTTCAAAAACATAGGGTAAGATGAACAATACCTGGAGCCTGGCGGAGTGGGCTTCGTCTCGAGATTGAAAGGGAGAGAACGAGCAGGTGATTCGCGAAGCTGTTGGCGATCTTGTGAGGGTAGGCGACCAGACCCTCTTGTTCTCTAGAATCCCACCGATTGACAAAAGAGAAAACGGGTGCCCCGAGATCGAAAGGGAGAGGAAGAACCGACGAATCGCGAAACCGCCGGCGGTGTTGAGGGGGTGGGCGACGAGGCAAAGCGACCAGATGCCCAGACCCACTTGTTCTTCGGAATCCGACCGATCGAGAGGGATAGGAGGAGCTGGCGTCTGGCGAGTCGCGAAGCCATCGGCGGTATTGAGGAAGCCGACGATGGTTGCTCCCCGAAATCCGATCGATCTGAGAAGTGAGAAGGGTCGAAGGGAACTGGCGGTCTGACGTCTCGAGATCGAGAGTGATAGGAAGAGCTGACCGTGGGCGATGTTTTTTTCCTTTTCGTTTAATTATTTGGGTTTGGGTTTGGGTTTTTTAACCCAAATCCATGGGTAAAACCCAACTGGACCCAACATTATGGGTATGGGTGTTGACCCATTAGACTTTACCCATTTAAAGTTGACTTGGATTTCAGACCTGACCCACATGGGTTGGATACTTAAAACCCAATGGGCATGGGTAATTCTGCCATCCCTAATTAGTGGGATGAAACAAACATTCTCATCAAGAAAATTTTACAATGAGAGAAGTAAATCCAACAAATCTACCTTGGTAGGGTTTAATCATCGAGCCCGGGAGAAACCAAGGTCTCCATGTAGACATGGGCAACATAATTAGAATCCCCTTTCGATGTAAGAAACTTGACAGTGTTACGATTAACATCGTAGACCACAGGCACAAAGCGATGCGTCCGAAAAAGAACCTCGTGGCGGTTTGCGATGTACATCAACGGCGTCGACGCATCAAGAGAGTTGTCGACAACATGCAAGACTCTGAACAACTTGGTCCACGAATCTGTCACGCCGTGCTCCTTCATCATCCACAGTGTATAGGAATCGTCGACATAGTTGCAGACCATGACACACAGGCAATCATCCAAGTGCCAGTAACGTAGAGAACCAAGAATCGTCCCCAAACTCGGGTAGAATCACCTCCTTGTACGTCTCGCTCGCTAGTTCGAGTGCGATAATGGTGTGCATCTGATCAACACGAGCACACCAATGAAGACATCCAGCAGCAAGTTTTCCATCGTGTTCTTCCAGTGGTACTCCGCTGAAATTCTGAATCTTCCTCCACTCTCTAGACTTCAATGCACAAACCTGGACCAGAGTCTGACAAGTAGTTCGATAGCCATAGCCACTTTCCTTTGATTGATACAAAACCACAACCTTGTAGTCGTCCAGCCGGCGATCGTAGCCAAACCCGAAACCCAAGAAATGCCATGGCCCCGATCCGAACTCAGGCAATGTGGTGCAAGCTCTGGTAGATGGGTTCCACAGAAGGATGTAATCAGCGGTCCAACCGATAACAGAGCAAAATATCCCATCGCAAGAACCAGCGATCCAATCCGAATATGGGATCCAAGGTACAGGCAAGTATTGAGGACGAAAATTATTATCCAGAGATTTAAGGGAACATGAACGGAGACCCATCTTCTTCCCAAGCATGAGCCTTTCGACGTGATTCGGTCTGGTAGCGGCCAAGGCTTTCGTGTTTGCGAGATGGGCTTTGATGAACTCTGTGCTGGAGATTAGGGTTCCGAAGGATTTGGAGACGCACCTGAACCGGATGAGGGATTGAGCAGGCAACAAGGTGAGGATTTCGGCAATGAGATCTAGAGGAACATGATGCATTACGATTTCCTGCATCGAGAATCTTGAGTAAAATTTCTTCTACTGCTAAAGATAAAAGCTACGGAAACTAGTTTATTCTTCTTTCAAGAGATAATAACTGAAGCATAAAGTACATATTTATAGTAAAGACATAACCCTATAACTAATTCCACAAGGACTCGGTAACTTACTCATAAAGAAACTACCTTAAACACTTTAATAATTAAATATGATTCCTAAACAATTACTGGAGGAACGTGATGCATTACGATCAAACAAACATTATCAACGAATAACAAAAAAAAAGGAAGAAAATTAATTTACAGTGAGAAGGAAATCCAACAACATACCTTGCTCAGGCTAATTGTTGATTCTGGGCAGAACCAAGCTCTCCATGTAGATATGGGAATCATATTCGAACACAGCTTCCGATTCAAGAAGTCGAACAGTGTAATTCTTAATATGGTAAATCTGCAAACAGTCTTGTGCCTGGAAAAGAACCTCACCACTGTCCGGAACGAAGATTACTTGGTTCCATGGACAAGGGGACATGCCATCCTGTAGAAATCTGAACAGCTCGGTCCACGAATCCCTCACTCCATGCTCTTTCATCAAAAACACTGCATAAGAACCATCAATTGAGTTGCAGCTCATAATACACAGGCAATCATCAATTGCCTCCACTGTTCGATGACCAATAGCCTCCCCGAACTCGGGTAGCATCAGCTCCTTGTATGTCTCACTCGCAAGGTCGAGTGAGTTAATGGTGCACCTCAAATTGTCAGAAATCCCAGCACGAGCTTTCCAATGGAGACAGCCAGCAGCAAACTTTGTGTGTACAGCTAGCTGGGAAGCCCTTGAAATCCTCAATCCTCCTCCACAGTTTAGACCTCAAAGCACAAACCTGGACTATAGTTTCATCACTTTCCTTATTGTCTGGTGGCACATCCATTCATAAAGTTGGCATGATCTATTCATTAAGTTTACTTCACTTGCTCGACCTCATAAGATAGTATAGTTCTGGTGGCTTCATAAAGTTGGCATGATTGGAAGTGCCTGTAGAATTGTCAGAAATGAACCTTGCATGAAATAAAGGAAGTCGTTAGAATAGTCTCAAATGTATGCGTCGGAATTTTCCTCGTTGTGACATTCAAGGCTAATTCTTACAGACAATAGCATCATCACCATCAACATTCTCTCTCGACCATACACCATCAGCCTTTTCCTCTGTGCATGCAGAGGAAAAGGCTCTGCCATCATTAACCAATTGCAGAAGACCCAATCATATAACAATGGACTTGCTTACACACTCAAAACAGATCTCGATGAGCCAAAAACAACACAACAGATCTCGATGAGCCAAATCACCCTGCCCAAGAACCACCAATTGAATTGCAGATTATGATAAAAAGGTGATCCTCCAGTCCCTCAATTAACTAAAGACCAGAAGCCTCCCCAAACTCAGGTGCCATCACCTTCCTATATGTCTCACTCACTAGGTCGAGTGAGATAATGGTGAGCTTCCAACATCATGAAACAATCTCTTGCCATACTTGCAAACAAACCTTGATCTCTAAGACACCCAAAAGCCTTGATCCCAAAAGCCTTGAGCCCTGGAAAAACCAACAGATAAGCCAAAACCCGTCAGCAAAATAACCTACAAGTAGCAAGAAAGTTGAAGTCTGAAGAAGGTTACAGAAACAGAGAGGCCAAGAGGACATAAACAAAAGGGAAAGCCAACTGGCTGTATTGTCCAGAAACAGAATTTAGAGTACGGATCAAACAAATGTTATTGAAGGGCAATTTTAAAGGAGGAAGATTTAAAATGAGAAGGAAACCCAATAACCTACCTTGCTCCTGCTAAATCTTGATTCTTGGTGAAACCAAGGTCTCCAAGTAAACATGGGTCTGGTAACAGAACGAAGCATCCGATATAAGAAGCCGGACAGTGTTATGCTCAATATCGTAAATCAGCAAACCATCTTGTGCACGAAAGAGAGCCACATCACTGTTCGAAATGTACACTGCCGGTGTCCATTCCTTAGGCAACATGTCATTGTATAGAACTCTGAAAAGCTTAGTCCATGAATCTCTCACTCCATGCTCTTTCATCATCCACAATGTAGAAGAAGCACCAATTGAGTCATTGTTGTCGGTCATGATACACACGCAATCATCCAATACCTCCAATGACCACGAAATAAGAGCCTCCCCGAAGTCGGGTAGCATCACCTGCTTATGCGTCTCAGTCGCTAGGTCAAGTGACATAAGGATTCGGTTCATATCAAGATTACCGTCCAAAGCATCCCAATGAAGACAACCGGCAGCAAACTTTCCTTGAAGCCTGCCATATAGGATACCAGGAAAATCCTCGATCCTCCTCCAGAATTTAGACTTCAAAGCACAAACCTGGGCCACAGTATGATAAGTAGTTCCACCATCACTTCTCTTTGGTTTAAACAAAACTACCGCCTTGTAGTCATCTAACTGACGATCATAACCAAACCCAATACCCTTGAGACTCCCTAATCTCATCGATGGCTCTGACCCATACTTGGGCAATGTAATGCATGCTCTGGTAGATGGGTTCCACAGAACGAAGGAGTCTGGTATGTCGCCAAGAGCGCAGATTATCCCATCGCAACAACCAACAAGGACAAGCTTTGTGGTAGCCGGTACAGGCATGTATAAAGGGCGAACAAGATAGATCTCAGACAAGGTCTGGTGATAATTATGCAGAGAGTTAAGGGAGCATGAATTGACTTCGACATTTCTCGGCCATCTTTTGCATTTCTTGATAATGAGCCTTTGAACGTGATTGGGTTTGGTTCTGGACAAGGCTTTCATGTTTCTGAGATGGGATTTGATAAAAACAGGGCTGGAAATTAGGGTTCTCAACGATTTGGAGACACACCTGAACCGGATCAGTGATTGGACGGGCAACCACGAGAGGATCTCGGCGATGAGCTCTGGGTGAAGGCTAGGCAGAGACCGCCGCGGTTGATCTGCCTTCTTCGCCCTGTCTGAAGCTCGAATCGGCGGCAGCGGCAGGAGAGGCAACACAAATTCAGTTCCTGGTGGACCGAGCTCGCGGGGACTGCGATTCGGAGAACTGTGGGTAGGTGAAGCAGACGAAGCGCGAGCCGACGGTGGTTGTTCCGGAGCCGGTGGATCGACGTCTGGAAACCACCGAGTCCTGACGCTGCTGGAAGAACTGAATCGGCGGGCCATGATCGGCGGCTTTGACTCCCTTAGTCCGTCTCTCACTGTTTTCTCCCTCCTCCGTTGATCATCGCCGTGAAATAAATAACCATCGCCTTGACTCCCTTAGTCCGTTGATCTCTCACTGTTTAAAATGAATCACTACATTATCCGAAGATAACAAGTCAGTCCTTATACTATTTTGTTTAGCAATTCAGACCCTGAACTATGACTGCAGCAGCCATTTACCCTGGCAAACCTACAAGTAGTAAGAAAAGCAACAGACTTTATCACTGAGTAATAAATGTTACAGAAATGGAGAGGCCAAGAGGGGACCTAAACAAAGGAGAACCAACTAGCAGTTATTTCCAGCAAAAAAGGAGGAAATTTTACAATTGAGAATGGAATCCACATAGCCTACCTAGCCTCTGGCTAGTTCTCGAGCCCGGACGAAACCAAGGTCTCCATGTAGACATAGGAATCGTAATCGAACCAATCTTTCGATGTCAGAAACCGGACCGTGTTCTCCTTGATATCGTAAATCAGCAGACAGTAACGTGTCCGAAAAATGACCTCACCGCTGTTCGAAATGTACATCAACGGCCTCCATTCGCCAGGGTACATGCCATGGTGCAGAACCCTGAACAACTTGGTCCATGAATCTGCCACCCCATGCTCTTTCATCATCCACAATGCAGAAGAACAGTCGATCGAGTTGCGGCTCATGACGAAGAGGCGATCATCCAATGCCTCCAACGTCCAAAGACCAGTAGCCTCCCCAAACTCAGGTGGCATCACCTCCCTGTACGTCTCGCTCGCCAAATCGAGCGACATGATCGTGTACCTCGGCTCATCATTCACATAAGAAGCTTTCCAGTGAAGACACCCAGCAGCAACCTTCCCAACATCGTCGCCCGGGACGCCCTTAAAATCCTCAATCCTCCTCCACACTCTAGACTTCAGTCCACAAACCTGAACTTCAGTCTGATAAGCAGAAGAATCATCACATTTCTTCGATGAAACCAGAACAACAACCTTATAGTCATCTAGCCGACCATCGTAGCCAAACCCAAAACACATGAAGCTCCCGGGAATCCACGGCCCTGACCGAAACATAGGCAGCTCGGTGGAAGCTTCGTGAGATGGGTTCCACACAACGAAGCCGCCACCGACACGAGCGCAGAGTAATCCATCGCAAGGACCAAGAAGGCGAACAAATGTGGTCACCGGGAAACGCTCCGGACGAGCTAGATCGATTTCAGCTTGAGTGCCGCGGTAATTGTGCAGAGAGCCAAGCGAGTATGAGATGAGACCTAGCTTCTCCGATTTCACGATGAGCCTCTCGACGCGATTCGGCTTGGCAGCGGACGAGGCTTTCGTGTTTCTCAGATGGGATTTGATAAAAGCATCGCTGGAAATTAGGGTTTTGACGGATCTGGAGACACACCTGAATCGGACGAGGGGACGGACGGGCAACCAAGCGAGGATTTCGGCGACGAGCTCTGGGGGAAGAATAGGCAGATGCCGCCGCGGCCGATCTGTATTCTTCGCCTCGTCGGAACTTGGAAGCGGCGACCCTGGCGAAACGAATTCGCTCCCCGGCGGTGGACCGAGCTCGTTGGAACTGCGATTAGCAAAACTGGGAATAGGTAGCGTAGAGGAATCGCGAGTCAACGGTGGTTGTTTGGGAGGACTGAATCGGCGGGCCATGGTTTTGGTCGGCGGTGGTGACTCCGTCGGTTGCTGCGCTCTCTTCACTGTCCGTCTCCCACTGCTTCAGGGAGAAGATGAAGATAGCGTGCTCACGGGATCTGCGTGTTTGGGAAGGAGAGACGGAGAGGGGAAAGAGATGGGCCCAAACATTTTTTAAAGGAGAGGAGGGAAAAGGACAAGGGAAAGTGATGGCTCAAACATTTTCAACGTCTAAATAATTTCAAGTTTATATTTTGTGGGTTTTTTTTTATTTTCTTGAACAATTAAGGGGTTGTTTGGAAGTTGTGATTTTTCAAATTGATGTATTGGGTCCATTAGTGTATTATCATTTGATGTATTGAATCAATTGATGTATTAAACAAATACTTTGTTTGGAGGTTTAGATTGTGTTTTTGTTGTAAAGGCATAAAAGTTAATTTGAGTGATTGTGAACAATCTCAACAAAAAGTAGAGATTCACAATCCCTCAATTTTGAGTGATTGTGGTGGGGCCTCCAAAAAGTGAATGCATGCATTTTAGTTCAATATAACCTAAAAAAACGACTTAATCTCACAAATACATGAATTATAGAGTCTCCACGATATTTGGGTCGTTAAGCTTTGAAGTTTAAAGTAATATGGGGCTCGTGTTTGGAGAGTTAAATAATACCAATTGACAAAAAAACTGGTATGATTAAGAAGTTGAGATTTATAGTAGTCTAGTCTTGAACCGTCGAATGGATGTATCATAATCTTTGTCATTAAGAATAAAAAAAAAACATGAAGAGGAGTAATGATGTGGGAAAGAAAATTAATTACTCTAAGCTTCATTATTGTTCCTCAAGCAAGCAAAACCCCAAGGAGGGGATTTCCATGTTTCAAACTAATACACCTCGGTTAAAATGGAAGTTTAAATTGGACGCTAATCATTTCAATTTTATCGAATGTTCTCAAAAGAACAAAGTGGACACTAATCATCAAAATTCGTCATCCACCTATACAAAACAGTTGTAGTACCATCAAATGAACCAAGCTCAACAAGATGATGTTCCAGTTCTTCAGACCAATCTTCCCTCCAGTTGCTGCACAAACAAAACCCAAGAAATGAGCCAAATCATCAAGTTTAAGGGGCTAAGGTTATAGTAAAAGAAGTTTCTATCACGAACGACTCTAACACTATATCAACTCGAATCACCGAAAAGTCGAATATCTTTATTTTGCATCATACATCATTCTTGAATGTGTGATTGACTTTAGAGTAAACATAATTCGAACACCAGACCTATCATCAAATTCGATTTATCATGTAACATAATGAAATTAAATGGAGAAATTGTACAAAGATGAAATTCCAAGGATCTCATTTCTACAACTACGAAAAGTGACTTACAGGGACCGGGGGCGGGAGCGGCGGAGCAAGTGCGGTCGAAAGTGGTAAAGATGGTTTGGTTAGAAGAGAAGCCGCCGTAGTTGCAGGTAGCGCCGCGACAAGCCGACGCCGACGAGTTCCCTAGCAAGACGGAATTTTTTCCCAAGCCACATTCCATTGCAGGGCAAGTCGACCAGTCCGATGGTTTAACCCCCGACGGCTGGCACTGTAACCTGAGGGGGAAAAAAATCAGAAGAAAACTCAATTCCGCGACCATGAATTCAGATCAAAAAACGAAACCATGGACAGAATTACAGAACAAACTAGCTTACGTCCAGTTGTTGGCAGAGTCGCACTTGCACTGGACGCAATTGTGAGCAGCGAAGACGTAAGTCCCATTAGCCACAAGCAATTGCGAGTCTATAGAGTCGGATCTTATGGACGAATTACAAGCTGCAAAAAACAGAGACCAAAGAGAAAAACAGAGCATAAAAATGCAGGGGGAAAAACAGAGCTGAAGACAGAGCACCTAAATTGAATTATCTGTAACAGATTAGCACACCCAGAAATTTCATTGTCGCTTTCTATAACTCAAACTCTACGCCGAAGCATCAAAATTTCCCCTCTGGTTAGATGAAAACAAAGCTAAAGAGACCGAAAGTTCGCAACTTTCTCAGTTCATTTCCCTTCATTTTTACCTCTGATAGGGACATCGAGGAGCTGCCCGGCACGGATACTCGACCCATCTTTCAACCCATTAATCTCCGTCAATGTCGGGACGCTAACACCGTACCGTTCAGCAATTCCCTCCAGCGAGCTGCCGGATTCCGCCAGGTACCCATAGTGAATCACCTTCCTACCCTCCACTTCATCACAGCTGCAAGGCAGGGGAATCGAAAGCTTCTGCCCGACCTTGACCGGATCCTTCTCGGAGATACCGTTCGCGGCTGCGATCGCGTCGTCGGTCACCGTACCGGAGAACACCTTCTCGGCGATGTCCTTCAGCCCGTCGTCCCCCTTCTTCACGGTGTACACGGGGCGCTTGTTCGAGATCCCGGCCCCGCGGTGGCAGAGGCAGGGGAAGGGGATCTTCAGGGTCTGTTTGGCGGGAAGCTTCTGATCCGGCGGAGTCGAGCGCGGGAGATTGTTGGCGCCCAAAAGGGTGCGGAGGTTTCGAACCGCGAAGAGGGTTTGAACTTCGACGAACGTGGTGGGTTCCGGGGTGATGTGGTCGATCAAGGCTTGGCATTTCAACGGGGAGTTCCCGCATTTGAATGCCGACGCGTCGAAGGGGAATGTGGCAGCGATTAGGAAAAACAGAGGAACTAAATTGCGGCGGGCCATTTTTCTCCGGCGAGGAGGCTAAAAGGGGAACAGGGGGGACACTGGGGATGGCGAGTGAAGTGAAGTGGGAATTGTTTCTGGTTGCGGCTTTCAATTGGAACTTGAGAGGGTATAAATGTGTAGAATGAAGGAGTTAGGAGACAAAAAATGACATCTTGGGAGGAGGATGCAAATGGACTCGGCTTGGCTCTTCTTGGTCTGGTTCTGATTGTTTTGTGTGGAACTTGGGAATTGCATTTTTGACGGTTTTCTTTGCTCGGTGGGTACTTCTTCTAAATATTGGTTTTAGTTTTAGTTTTAATTTTTAAATGTTATTTAACAGATTCGATTATGTGATTTCAGGTTGAAAATCAGCGGTAGAATCATTAGATTGAGCATTTGTTCGTAAGGAGATATCTTTACGGAATGCGGTTAGTAAGTTATCATGATTCACATGTGTGGCTGGTAAATTGAGATTGGGAAAGCGTGGTTTTCGACGTACTAATCAAATTCTTTAATCAAGCATTTATGTTCGAATCGTAATGGCTTCTAGAATTTATTATCGGGCGCATGGTGGATCTCGAGTTCGATTTCGACTTTGGTATGAGAAAACAAGCAAAGACTATATAAGATTCATTCTTATGTTTTTCTTAACTGTTAGTTCACACATACATCTAACTACCTGTAAGGTTCATTTTCAACGTATAATCAAATTATTGTGACGATATGGTTCTCCATGCTCGTATCTAAATATCTATTAGTGTGTTGTTGATGTTAAATGTGGAACCGTGGGAGCAGAAGCTATAGTTGCCAGCTGAGAACCTCATCCACCACGTCTCTTTTGGCTTCAGAGAGCAAGTGGCAGCAGAAAGTATAACACTTGGTATGGTGCATTTTTTGTTGTGTTGGCTGAAAACAAACCAAATAAAGAAAGAAAGAAAGAAGAGTCCTTGTTGGAGTTGGTGCAACAGGCGGATCTAGCAAGGTTTGCTACTTTGGTCGACCCATATTGACAGAATTTTGAATAATCTCAATCCCCATCTGTGAAAGAGATCTAAGTTCGTCGAAAAAGGGTGAATTTGTGATAGTAATTTCGAGTGACCAAACGTATAGTTTAATGCTGAAACTGCACATTGCATTCCCTCCGAGTTATATTGTAAAGATGGACTGAGCGGGGATGAGTTTAGGTGTCATGTTCCATTCTCATGTCCATACTTCTAAGTAATATTAAGATACCTCGAGTTATTTTCATAAGACATTTCATGGAATACTCTGTTATAGAACAGAGGAGAACAGAGGAGCCTCTGTTTCGCAGAGAGGGAAAACCCAGCGATTTTGTTAACAGAGGAATCAGTTCCGGCGAGTAGTTAAATTAATTGTTCATTATTCATCGTCGGAGATAAGAATTGGTGTTGGCCTGGGAAGGAAGGACGAAGGAGATGGGTTTTTCTTCTCGTCTCTCGCTCGTTGTGGGTAACGAGGGAAACAGCAGATAATTAAGCGATTTATGGCTGGGGAGATACGGGGAACTCCGGCGGCGGCGAGGGAGGTAGAAGGAAACCCCTTAATCGGCGACAAACACCACCATCAGCCTCCGCCGTCCCAGCAGGAGGAAGAGGAGTACGCCGGAGGGCAATCGGCGGGAGAACGAGCGACGGAGCGGCGGAAACCAGCGCGAAAAGTCGAAAATACGGCATCCCGAAACGCCGAAACGCGGAACGTTTCGAGTCCTCAAAACCAAAATCGAAACGCGAGAAATTGACGAGAAATTGAAATTGACGAGATGATATATACGACGAGATATCGTGATATTTTGACGATATATTGACTTTTCCATGATATTTTGACTCTGCCTTTTACCAGACCCTCGCTGCAAACGAACAGAGCCGGGAAAATGACCGGGAAAGAACAGAGAAATAAGCAGAGCTCGTCGCCGGGGAGCGACCGAAGGCGAAATGAAGATGAATTGCGAAGGGGAGAGCCGAGTAGAGAAGTTGGAGAGAGAAAGCAAATCAATTATCGGCATGGCGGAGGCCGAAATGGAAATTCGTATGAGCCCAACGAACGCTCTGCTGGGTGCTGGCTATTCCTAGCAACGGCGGAGGACTGAGTGGAAATTCCATCGGCCGGCGAAGGACCAATTTCTCTCTTCTCTCCGTTTTTGGCACTCTCTCTTGTCACCTACTGTAAAAATTTCATTCAATCGACATTCATTCACTCATATATCATCAATGGAGATGGAGGAAGACAGGAAGTCTAGCCGTGATTTCAGTTCAGTTGACCGTTTACCCTACTGAAAAGTCCACGGTAATGTTCAAGCATTTGCCGTTTAGTAATGAACACGACCATGGAAACAGACTAAACTGAAGCAACCAAACAAAACGTCTTTCACTATTGAGAAAGGTATAAAAAAAGACACTGAAAAACAGAGGAAGGAATCCAAGTGTTCACTACAGTCACAGGGTCTTCCCACAGAACTGTTTACAAAGCTAACCAATAGCCAACACCTTTTTCTTTTAAAAATCAAAACTTGATCAATTTCAACCTAACCACAGGCTTCTCCCCGTTGCTAGAGTTCTAGATTCGAACATTACATGATGCGACATGAACTGCTAAATACAGCTACACCTCTTTTCTTTACTGTTCCTCCAACCGTCGTAGAATCGTCTCAGCAAAGCTTTGTTGCCTGAAAGTATATAGACAAACAGACGAGCAAAGGCGTGTCAGCTATGTCATCGCTCATTCGTAGCAATGGATAACAGAGAGAGGGTTTGAGATGGCGGGGGGAGGCTGGCATTACTTTTGTTCCCTATGTTTAGGGCTCGGCCTGGAGTACTTCAGATACCCGTCCCAAGGTACCATCTTGAGGCCAGCTCGCACAGAGATTATGTCCCGGACTCTGAGCAAGAATGGTTAGTAAGGATTTTTCGGTAAGACGGGGAAAATGATTGTTGTTAAAGAAAGAAAACACTTCTGCGAAAGGGATTTATTCACCTCTCTGCAAACTCAATAGCCGTCTCCCCAGGTCTGAGAGTTTGTGGCTCCAAGTACCAAACGTCGCAAACAACTGCCCATGATGTCATGAGCTGGAGGAGATGCATTGTGAATGACTGCCTGCAGATCGTACGTATAATAGTTAGAACATTACTAAAGGGACATGTAAGAAATCAAACAAACTAACATGACCACAGATTTACTTACTTCCGGCTGTTCCAAAAGGCATCGACAAAAATCTTATTGTACTTGACTGCGATTGGGCAAACAGTACATCCTAGTTCAAAGGCACCCTACAAAGACAACCGAGACAGGAGAAATTTCAAGGACAATGCTATCTACGAAGCACTTAAGGGGAAGCGAGTGGGGGAGTTTATTACCTTCTTGAACATCACGGTATAGTGGTTATTTACACAAGTTCCTTCGGGAAATATGAGAAGAGGATTGTTATCAGATCCCTGAACATGGTCACGTAACCTGATCGACAATATACAAAATAAAATGTATGAAATGGACATTATTCCAGGAAAAAAATTAGATTTTATATGAAGAGGACTTACTTTTTGGCTACAGTTTCACGATCCTTTGCCTCACTACGATTGAACCAGATACATCCCAAGCTGTCTAATATGGTGCTCTGCAGGAGTCCTATACAGAGAAACAGCAAATTTGATCATTCATTTCTGAACCATCTTATTATATAGTGTATCTACAAAATAAGCACCCAGCACCCAGCTACCAATGACTTACCAACCCAACCCGGGTGCTTCTGCATGATGACGGCAAATGGAGTCATCTGTTCCAAGACGATGAAATCGATCATTGAAGTATGATTGGAGACAAAAACCTGTTCAGACAGATTACAAGCAGAAACTTCGTGTCAGCATGGGAATTGTATAATCCTCCTACAATATCAAGGAAGGGCAAGTTGGATGCTCCTTGAAAGAAACCTGTTTCGGCCGCATGCTGGGACGTGGACCGTGGTACTTCACCACTCCAGTCCATGATGCCACAAAGAAGCTGCAGATTAACTCTACCAGATATCTCTTCAAGAAGAGGAAAAAGGAATAATGAAAAGGTAAGTTCAAGTGTAACATCAGCAACCAACATATAACAGACAGCTAAAATGCAACTCAAGAAAAGGGAACACAATGAAACCCAGAACAATTTGTTTCCTCCATGTAATCAAGACTTTAAAAAAAACCAAGTCAAATCTCTAAGTTCAGACAAACTTAAAAAGATAAAGACTTTCTAAAGATCGACAGATAAAATAACGTGCTAGAGCTTAAGATTTTGATCCCGCACCTCGATCTTCTTCCTCAACTTGTCGTGTCCTTTGAGTAGCACATGAACAGGAATATAGGCCGAGAGAAAGATTATCCACCCAATTGCTAGCACGATAACCCTGCAGAATGGATTCAACATATTCTTTCAGAAGTCGAACACCCAATACCAAGTTCAACAATTTGGTAAGCCATCATAAGTTAATAGATGGCCAAAACCAACAATCAGTCGGACTTAGGAAGCTCAATTCGAATGAAATCAAGTGGGAAAACATAGATAGCCAACCTGACAGGGAACAGGATCCCATATCTAACCACCACACCGCAACACCATAGAGGGAAAAGGTACACATTCCAGTTCCAAGGCTCCGGCGGATTTGACTTGAAACACCTTGTAAACGAATCCTGATGCACCATAACAATCCAACTCAAACCTTATTCAACTCACAAATCCAAGCAGATAACTTTCCATCATGTTCACTTATAGTCCTTTCCTACCCACTAATCCTTTTCATCTTCTACGCCCAAATAGTTCAATTACTGCATGTAAAGTTCCAATCTTTTTTGTAACCTTTGCCAATCAGCTAACTGGCAAGTAAGATGTGAAACCTCCCCATTTCAATTGAAACATAGAAGAGAAAAGCGAGCCAAGAGAAATCAGCAACTCACATCAATAATCGCCCCGGCAGCCTCAGTTAACGTTGGGGAGATGTCAAGCAAATCGCGCCTAATTCAACCAAAGACAAGTGGAGGAATTAACAATAAGAGACCCAATCGGCAGAGGAAACCAAATTCGAAGAAAATTGAATGGGAGAAGGAGTAGTAGAAGAAGAAGAAGAAGAAGAAGAAGAAGAAGAAAGCAATACAGTCGAAGCTGGCCGTGGGGTTCATGAATGGATGTTCCAGAAGGAAGGTAATCTTCAATGTTGGGCCGATCCAGGTCCAATTCGGAGCTCGAGGTATTCAGCTTCCCGGGATCGCTCATATCCGAGTGTGGTCGGAGGATGAGAGCTCCGGCGGAGGGATTTGTGGGACTGACTGTTCGCCCTTTTTCCTGTCTGCAAACTGGATGAACAGAGGAGAAAGAGAGGAGAGAAAAAGGGGGCGCGCGGGTTGGTGGTGGCGTGAGGCTTGTTTGTTACCTGAGAAAGTGTGTGGAGGAGAGAAAATAATATACAAAGAAAAACGGGGATTTTTGGGTTCCTTTTGTTGTTATATATTATGTATTATGATAAGAAATAATTTATGTTTTTGTACTTGTGTATGGTCGCCAAAATTGGTAATCTTTTGGATATATCTACAAGCCTATGAAAATGATGGAGAAATCCCACTATTGTTGCCAACTAGTGTTAGTTAGTGTGCAAACAAGAAACAAGAAAGATGTTTTGCTATATTTAATCTCCAAGCATGCATCTTAATGAAATTGAATTCAATCGGATCGAAATTATTTGCTACGCTACTGTTAAAAACTATATGTTACTATACTCGTAGTTTTGTAGATGTCAAATGAACACTTTTTTCTGTTCGACTTCAAACCAAATAGATATATAATCTGATTGGATTAAACCCAGAAGATGATGTGATATATGTTCTTTCCAAGGCAAAGATGAGTACTCTGTTTTTCTGCCGAGTCTCGTCTTTTATGTTTTGGACAACTCACAACCTCATCTTCTTGGTACGAGTCCCCATTGATGATTGGTGAATTACTGAATGGCAAGGTGACGGTCAATTTTGTGCATCATTTTGATTTTCTTTACCATGAATCGAAACGGGCCTGGGCTTGGAATTTGCTGGATTTGGCATGGCGCATATATACTGTTGTAACTAACTTGGGCTTGGGCTTGCTCGATTACAAACGGGATTTAATTACTCTCTCGGGAAGGCCCAACAAGCTAGATGCCGTTTATATCTAGTCCTCGGTTTTACTTTTATTTTCCTTTTTCGTCAACTATGCGATATTTATGGTTCAAGTAAACGGAAATTCTGGTTAAAAGTACTGCAAATTATAGATTTTATTTGCTTACAGATATCTCCATTCAGCAGGATAAAAACAAAAAGTAACATAATAATTACGATAATTTTTTCGGATTCAACATAAATTACACATGTGTAAAGCGGCAGAGGTAATTAGTAAGGATTAGAATAACCTAGGGCCAATCGTATCACCGAATGCGAGTTGAACTCGTAGCCAGTTTGTCGGAGAAAATTATCAACGTAACAGTTGAATTTATTGACTATGTACATTTGATTAAGATTAAGGAAATAATAAATAACACAACTACATTCTAAAATGGAATTTAAGGAAATTTAATTCCCGCAATTATCTATTAAAGAAAAACTCATTTGCATTAGAGGAACATCATATGGGTCTCAGTCATCTCCTTTAATGTGTCCATAAGGAGATATGATATCCCTGCAAAAAAAAAAAAATGAAAAAAAAATTATAGTATCATTAGGTTTAAGTTTTAACCTCCGTCATTAATCAAATCAATCGAACCTCTACCAGTAAATGCGGTACTATATATAATGCATCAGAACGACGTAGTTTTATGCACACAAAGTACCTGCCAGGAAGCCAGCCTTTGTAGAAGTTGAAATCGACGTCCCAAATCCGCCGCCAGACGTAAACGCCGTCGTCCTTCGCCAGCCAGACCCTGTCGGAGTAATCGTTGTTGGGGAGCGGGTCCATGTCCTCCCACGCCGTGAAGGACAGGTGGGAGTTGCCGTCGGGCGCCACGTAGCACCAGAACAGCGTGGTCCCCCACCAGTTGGGCCGGAAGCTGAAGTGGTAGTCCTCGCCGCCGGCCGTTATGTACTTGACCCCGATGTCGTCGTCGCCGGACTTGCAGTGCACCAGCAGCTTCTTCCGCCGGTCGCTCAGCCCGTTCACCACCCGCACCGTCACCGCCTCCGCCGCCGGGATGGCCAGCAGGACGAGGCACAATATGCCGGCGGCGGCGGCGGAAGGATGGGATTTCGTGTCGCGACGTCGGAGTGAAGTCATCGTTATGGAACTTTGGCAAATGGGTTTCGCGTAGAAGGGTATAAAAAAAAAACATATTGAACCCGAAACCCTAACATCAAAGCGTTTTTAGGTTATGTTTTTTTGGTAAGTATATATATATGTTACATATATGCTTTTGCACTTCGAAACGGTTTGTTAAAAAGGTGGAGATCATATGTGTCGTTTTTTTTTTTTTGGTTCATTATTTACAAGTTTGAGTGATTAATTCGATTGATCGTCGATCGTTATCTAATTACAATGTTATGACGATAGAGTAGAGTAGAAAAATAAAAGGCATGACGACTATTTGATCAATATTTAAATATTTTATTTATTATTAAGAACTGAAATATGCGATTAAACGTGCGCGCGTACGCGCAAGAACTTAAAATTTAAAACACATGATATGACGATAGAGTAGAGAGTGATTTTATTACTTATGTTTCCACTCCCAAGTATACGAATCGTCGCAGGCGCTATAATCCTTCCTCCCGTGAACGGCGTCGTCTCCGGCGTACCAATAATACGGGCCAATATTGCCATCGCCGCCGAAGTAACCGTGTTCCCATGCCACGAAGTACGCCTGCCAGCTGGCATCCGGTTCCAGGTTGCACCAATACTTGGTCTTTTTATCCCCTGTCAATATGGGCTCGAAGTCGAAGGTGTACTCGACGCCGAAGGAAACGTATTTTCCTCCGACGTCGTCGTCGCTGGACCAGCAGTGGACCAGCAGAGGCCGGCTCGTGTATGTCACGTTGTTGTACACGATGACAGTCACCGCGGCCGCGCTAGCCATCGGAATCGTCTCCGTCGACAGGAGGAAGACGATGAAGAGTACGAATACGCCGCCGCCGGCGGCGCCGGCAGAGGACGCGTGGCTGGTTTTGCGGATGTTAATCATGTCTTAAATGGAAATTTTGGTTTCTGAGTTTGATTGGGATGATGTCGTTTGCAGTATTTTATATAGGTGATATTGTAGATGATCGCTCGAAGGATACATGGTTAAGAAGGTAATTTCGAAAGAACGTATGTGAATTTTCTATAATAAAAAAAAAAAATCTTCTTTTTTGTTTTAAGAATTCCAAAAAATACGTAGGAGTTCAAACTCCTTCGATTGGCTCTCTAAGATTTGGAGACTAAAAATCTCAATATTTGTTTTTCAGTTACGTACGCCATTAGGTAAACTCGGTGAGATAAGATCAATGGAAATATATAACACTATCATTAGCCTCTCTTTAGTAACGATCCGTCACTATTTCTCAAATGTGTCGTATAATACCTGTGCTGATCGCAGTATCGTAGATGCTGCATGCATGGGTATCTTTGCCTCCACGAATAACAACAAAATGAATTAGAGGGGCAAACCGATTGAATTGTTGGATAAAACTAAATTGATTGGTGGATTCACATATTGAAATGAAAGATTCAGAAATATGAGTGACATATAAATCTTGGACATTATTATGAAATTTGAAAATATTTTAAATATCAAATGTCATTATTAAAAATTTTATATACCACGATATAATTTTTGGATAATATTTCCTGGTAAAAATAAAATTCATATATCACATTTTTAAAATATGAAAAATATAAGTACTAAACTTTAGTTTGCCAACTCTTTAGGGGGAACCCTATCTTTGTCTTAATTATCTAATCACAGATGCTAAAACTAAAATATTAAGATGGTGCATATAATTTTTTGGTTGTCTTTCGACGAATCATGATCACCTATTGTTGTTTCTAATTAAATTGATGTTAGTATATGAAATTTACAGAATCAAGACCTAGATTCTAATCTTCAAGAATTATGGTATAATACCATGTCACAAACTCCAGTCAACTCAACATAAAGAGATTATTTTCTTACTTATGATATATATCATACTTTTAACTTTACTCAAAATACGATAGATCTATCAATATAAGAGGCAATTATTCATGACACTCGCGACAAGGAGTTGGTCACAGCTATTGAATTGTTGGTGTATGTGATGCTTGCTTGCTGCATGCACTCTGGGAACAATGACAATAGAACCCCAAGAATGTGTATCTGACCTTCTCCAATCAGCGGCGGATACAGGATCGGGTAGAGCACTGGACCATATTAAAAAAAAGGTAGGGTTGGGTCATAACTCATAACACGACGAACACTAAAATGAACACCGAAAATTAAAAATTTACAAGTGCTATACTAGCTCTGGATCGAGGGAGGGCTGGGCCGTGCCCCGGGGGCGCCCCCTAGATCCGTCGATGTCTCCAATCCAGTCTAAAAAGGAAATCTCTGCATTGACCGAGAACGAGAAGGAAAAAAACGAAATGTAATCGCAAGAAAATCGTATGCGTGCATGAGTCGCGAGGAAGTACTGTTCGAGAACATCCGAAAAAGTTAAATTTTTTTCGGACAGCAAAAAATAAAAGGCATGACCATCGGTTGGTATTAATTTATTATTATTATTATTAAGAACTGAAATATTGTGATTAGACGTGTGCAAGAAACTTATAAACTTAAAACATGATATATGATATGACGTGGTTCAGCCGTTTTCTAAATATCGCCTACTGATTGGCTTCTGGTAGGATGTTTTTCTTGTCGAACTACCGGTACGTGGTACAGTTTTTTTTTTTTTTTAAATCATGGCTTTTGATTAAGTTCCCACTCCCAAGTTTTCAAATCCTTGCCGGCGCTATCTTTCCTTCCGTGGACGCGGTCGTTTCCGGCGTACAAATAATACGGGTCATTGCCATCGCCGTAACCGTATTCCCATGCCACGAAGTACGCATGGAAGTAGGAATCCGGTTTCAGGTCGCACCAAAACTTCGTCCATAGCATGGACTCGAAGTCGAAGGCGTACTCGCCGCCGTAGGCAACGGGTTTTTCTCCGATGTCGTTGTCGCCGGAGAAGCAGTGGACCATCAGAGGCCGGCTCGTGTACGTCACGTTGTTGCGCACGGTGAGGGTCATCAAGGCGTCGGCCATCAGGATCGTCTTCGTCGATGTTGCCGCCGACAGGAGGGAGACGATGAAGAGTACATATACGCGGCCGGCGGCGGCGAGTGCGGCGCCGGCAGAGGAAGCGTGGCTGGTTTTGCGAATGTTCATGTCTTAAATGGAAGTTGGCTTCTTAGTTTGATTGGGATGATGATTAAATCATATCGTTGTAGTGTTTATATATATATATATAGGTGGTCGCCCAAAGGATGCAGGGTTAAGAATGTAATTATTCAAAAGAACCTACGTGAGTTTCTATACAAAATTGCGCCCCTGTATTTAACATTGAATTCTCTACCTCGAGCGAAAATTTGCTGACAAACTATGAAAACGCGTTGTGTATCATTGTAAACAATACAAAAAAACCCTCTTTTAACCGACATTCTGACTGCGTCCCTACTTACTTTTTGTGGCTTCGTTCAACAAGCAGTTGGGTTTCCGACGGTCCGAACAATCATATACAAGATTCAGCGTCTAACCCAAAGGAAACATAAGTCATTCACATGTACAGTATAGTCCGCACACTTATTTTCCTCTCTTTATATGGATATTGCACGTATGTAAATGTGACACAGATAGTAACTCACCAACCTCTACGAGCAACCTAATGAAACTACACCATAGTTAAAGTTGGTAAATGGTACATATATGATTTATAAAACCTCTCCCAACAACTCGAGTCATTAGAATTAACTGTTGTTGATATGATATCAGAGTCTTCTGTTACAGTATTACCTAGCTAGAGGCGTCTTGTGTTCGAATCAAGATACACCCTTAAAGATGGTTCTGATACGAACGTTCTCTAAAGCCGCTGAACCGCAAACCAGGAGCCTAGCTACAAGCGAACCCTCACGTCTCCAGTGCCCAGCAATCCATGATCACTACAAAGGCCGGAGATACATAAATGGGGTTTTTGGTTACGTACGGAACCGTCGCCTCTAAACGGCAACCACACTAATTATAGTAAATTCGTCGGGATAAGATGAATGAAACTATTAATTATATATAATATTGGAACCACTTTGATTACTCCGGTGACCTACTCAAGCAATGGGGGATTTATGTGTGTCGTTCGTGGTTCCAAAGATGCTTGCATGAAGATGGTAATCTTTGCCTTTTACGAGTAAAAACAACGACAACGTGACAGTACTTGATCTTTTGATGGAGGAGGACTACCAATTACAAGGTAGCAGGGGGAGTTTAGTGTTGGTAAATTACACAAGATCAATATGTTATCGGAATTTTTCGGTGATCAGCGAGAGGTCTTGTTTTTGAATCCCGAGGACATTATTTTGTTAGGCATATGGTGTTTATTATATATATGCAAAGATTCATACAATTACAGAATAGTATATATAGTTCATATTTTGAAAGCATTGTATGTAGAAGACATTTTCTGGTCCAAACTAGCACACAAATCTTGTTACATATACGTCACGCAAATGCACCATTCAGCTGCTCATCACTTCTTCGGGTCGCTGAGCCGGTTCGCGACCCGAAAAATCGTCCTTTGGGTACCACGATATGGGCTCCGCCTCGTCCACCAGATTGGCCGTTGACAGCGTCGTCATCGTCGCGGTGGTAGTAATTAGTACAAGGCAGCAGCAATAGCCGCCGCGACGACCCTTTTAGCGACGGAAGAGGACGGTCTCCCTTGTTACTACTGATGTTCATCTTCATTTTTTCGTCGCTATTGAGTTTTTGGAAGAAGAATAGAATTGGATTTTCGTTGCTATTTATACATCGTTTTTGGTAAAATATAACCGCAGATCTCATAAAATAACAGTTATTAATTATTACGTACGTTAAACACTTCAGCGACCGGGGAAAGGATGGCTTCTGTCGTCATTAATGTTTGTTTCCGTCTTTCGTCGCTAAGTTATTGGTCGCAGATAGTTCTTTCTCGGCAGTCGGCCAGCTGGGTCTTGTTGGTAATATTACGATTAATTACTGTAGGACAGTCTTGTTGGCACATATGATATTTATTACCGTCACGGTAAATTTGAAGTTACACGTTACTAGCTTTGACATCCAGATCTACGAATTTAGGATCAAACGTCGCAAATACTCAACACACGGGAGCTTGACTGACGGATCCATCCGTCCAGCAGGGACGAAAGTCGGCCTCAGTGATATTCGACGGTGCCAAGTGAAAATGTGTGAACGGATAAAAATTACTCTAGAGATAGCACGTTGATCTTTGACGTACATCCATCGATCCTTTCAATAATTCGGTAGCCACTCATAAGTATAATAGATGGCGTCGCGTTTCCACCCAGTAACGTTGTCGTTTTGAGCGCACCAAGTTATCGGCGCATTATTGTAATCACCGTTTTGCCACGCCGCGATGTCCGCATGGTATCCGGAATCCCGTTCCACGTGGCAAATCGTCGACCGCCATGCGTCGGGGTCGAAGTCGAAGGCGTAGTCGCAGTGGCCGGCGGTGACGTATCGGGCTCCGATGTCGGTGTTGCAGGATTGGCAGTGGACCCAAAAAGTCTCGCTCACGTACGTCAGGTTGTTGCAGACGTGGACCGTCACGTGGGCTCCGGCGGTCGGGATCGTCGTCGTCGTGGTGGTTGCCGCCCACAGGAGGAAGATGATGCAGAGGAGAAACGTGCGGCCGCTGCCGGCGGAGGTGTGGCTGGTTTTGTGGATGTTCATGTCTAGAGCAATGGATTTTCTTTTATAAAAAAAAAATAGAGAATATTGGATTTTGATCTCTAGTTTGATCCTATAGATTGTATGCAGTATTTATATATAGGCGGGTCAATCACGTACAACTTTGTTTTCGGAACATAACCGGATGCGGAACCGGAAAAAAGGTAATGGTTTTGGTTCAGTAATTTATTCTGCGCGCTATAACATAAAAAGTCTTGTTTGTATAATATACACTAGTTTTGTGAATGAATTTATTACTAACCAATAATCGTAAAAATTTCAAATTCATGTCATTTATCACCAAAAGTTCTGACAGATCATTCAAACTATCTAAAAAAAATAATTGTAAAACTTGTTATTAAATTCAAGTTAGTACTTAGTTAGAGTGGCAATCCATAGTGCACTACATAAAGACGAAATTAATAAAATAGTGAACCAGCTGATCCGTCAAAACCAAGGCGGTTTATCTGTTAAAAATCTTTATGTCCAGATAGTTCAAACAAATGAATCGAACCATTATTATAACTGATTTAGTGATTTTACTGGTTCAGTCGATGATCCAACTTATAACTTTTGGGAACGGTTAAACTGATCGTTATAGCCAGGACGTTTTTTAGTTACGTACGGTGTTGCCTTTTTGTGGAACGGCGAAGCTTTGGTACAGTGGGTTGAATACAACCACTAGGTAAACTCTTTGGGATTAGATCAATGAAACTCTCTTTAAATTACTCGTCTCTGTTGTTGTCAGTAATGTCTATTTCCGTTTTCCGTCGCTAATTTATTGGTCGCAGATATTCTTTGTCGGCCAGCTATGAGTATATATTAGCCCTTTTTCACCTTTTGTTTTACCAATGAGGAAATTAAAAGTTATTGCAGCATAATGTTTATTATGACAATTACCGTCACGGTAAGAACTCACGGTAAATTTAAAGTTACACGTTACTAGCTATGAAATCAAGATGTACGAATTTAAGATCGAGTGCCACAACTACTCAACACAAACCTATACGTGAAGGGAGCTTGACTGCAGGACCCGCACGTCGCGAGCAGGGGTGATAGTTGGTCTTAGTGATTCGACTGTCGTCGTGCTCAACTGATCATAAAGTTACTATAGATGAACTGGTTGATCCTTGACGTAGATGTCATTTGAACGCATTGTGACATTAAACTTTGACCACCACCATCACCACTGTAGCAGATTGACATCCGCGAATAGTTCTTTCTCGACCAACTAGGTCTTGTTGGTACATTTTATGATTAACTACTATATGGCAGTCCTATTTACATATAAAATTATAAGTATAATATACTATATATTAGCCCTTTTCACCTTTCGTTTTACCGATGAGGAAATTAAAAGTTATTGCAACATATAACATTTATTATGACAATTACCGTCACGGTAAGAACTCACGATAAAATCAAAGTTATGTTGCACGTCGAGCAGGGGCAAAAGTCGGCCTTAATAATCCGATAAGGACCGTCGATCAACGGGAAGAAAGAAAAAGTTACTCGAGGGATAACAGATTTATTTTTTACGTGGCTTGAACTTAAATCACATTCCGACATTAAACCTCGACCACCACCACCGGCCGCTGTAGCAGATTGACAATCCCCGATGCGGCGGAAGTATCCGCGCGTAAATGCATCGATCCTTTGAATTAATTTATTAATTAATTCCGTGCCCACTCGTAAGTATAATAGATGGCCTCACGCTCCCATCCCGTGACGTTGTCGTTTTGAGCGCACCAAGTTATCGGCGCATTGTAATCACCATTATGCCACGCCACGATGTCCGCGTGGAATCCGGAATCCCGTTCCATGTGGCACCAAAACTGCGTCGAAAACCATACGTTGGGCTCGAAGTTGAAAGTGTAGTCGCAGTGGCCGGCGGTGACATATTGAGCTCCGATGTCGTTGTCGCCGGACTTGCAGTGGACCCAAAAAGTCTCGCTCACGTACGTCAGGTTGTTGCAGACGTTGACGACCACATGGGCTCCGGCCGTCTGGATCAGTTTCCTCGGCGTGGTTGCCGCCCACAGGAGGAAGACGGTGCAAAGGAGAAACAGGCGGCCGCCGCCGGCGGAGTTGTGGATGTTCATGTCTAGAGTAGTGGATTTGATCTCTAGTTTGATTAGGATGATTGAATCCCATCGATGGTATGCCGTATTTATAGGCGGGTCAATCATGCACGTACTAAAACTTTATTTTCCGAATCTGACCGGATGTTTGGACCGGAAAAGGTAGTAGTTTACGGTTTCGTGATTGACTATTGTAGAATTGTCGACAAAATAGTTTGTACACGATATAACATTTAAGTCATGTATAATATACTAGTTGAGGAGTGGATTTATGATTAACCAATAACCCGAAACAATTTCAAATTCATATCATCCATTATCGAAAATTTTAACAAATCATTCACACTATCTCACCCAAAAAAATATAAAACGTGTTATTAAATTCAAGTTAATACTTAATTAGAGTAACAATCCAGTGGATCACACAAAGCTGATAATCTCGGTCATTCCGGATGGATAATCTCAGTTTACATTAAAGTTTTTTTTTTCAATTGGTGAACGAGTGGAGAAGTCAAAACAGGGTCAGGGGTGGCTCATCTGCCTTTCATATGAAACTGCTAAAAATCCTTCAGTCTATTCCAAATGGTCCGAACAAATAAACCAAACCGGTATTTTAACTGGTTTAGTGGTTCTACTGGTTCAGCCGCCGATCCAGTTCGGTTATTATAATTATCATAAACGGTTAGTTAAACTGATCGTTGCCAAGATGTTGTTGAGTTGCGTACGGTGTTGCCACTTTGGAACGGCAAAGCTGTGGTAGAGTGGGTTGAATACAACTACTAGGTACACTCAGTTGGGATTTGATCAATGTAACTCTGTACATTAGCCCGTTTTAAATTACTCGTGGTCTGAAAGAGGGACGCCGCACATATACCAACAAACGGGCCAACGAACGAGCTAATTGGGCCCGCCAAGGCCCAAAAAGAACTAATGAACACACCCTCGTTTTGGGTAAAGAATGGGCCAGCCCCAGTTGGAAGCATTGGCCTTAATTGTACTTTCTCTCAATCCTCCTCCTATAGATTCATGCCTTGTAAACAATACAAGATGATGATTTCTTGCGATGAGAGCTTTCTTGTTATTCCCTGCCACACTGAATAATTGAATATGATGTAATCTTGCTGCACAAAAAAGACAGGAAGATGCAGAGAAAACAGATTAAAGAATGTGGGGGGAAAAAAGTGATCGATGTAGTTCCTAATACTAAACAGAAGCTAGATTAGATTCATCCCGTACTTCCATTTTGCCCTACATTAAGAAAAAGGAGCTTCCTACTTCTGGTTCCATAGTCCACATTACTATATTTTACCCTAGAAAACATAGACAAAAGCGACACTCCAAAACCAGATTCTATCTTACACATATAGAAATGGAGCTTTTGAACCCTGCACCACAGACACAGTGGTTGTCAGCAAAGTGCAAGTGGATCCAATCCATCAAACAATTTGAACTCACATGGGGGGAAAGAAGAGAGATCACCACCATCATTTCCATCTCTTCTTTGTACTTTTTCTTTGGATTCATTCACCTCTCACAACACCCATGTAGGTTAGCCACAAGCATGGATATAACCTCTAGGCCTGAATCGCTCGCTTTCGTAAATTTGTCGGGTATTCATAAGGAACGTGGAATAGTCTCGGGTGTGTCATGAACCAGTTGCTCCCAATAACTCGAGTTGTTGGGAGAGGGTTATGTTGGATCTTATACCACTCTCTAACACGCCCCCTCAAACGAAAGTCAATTCATGGGCTTGAAGTTTGCACAGGCCCACAATACCATGTGCTTGAAAGACAACGGTTAATATTGGGGGTAGTGGAGATTCCAACTCGTGACCTTTCGATTCTAGGCTCTGATACCATGTCATGAACCAGTTGCTCCCAATAACTCGAGTTGTTGGGAGAGGGTTATGCTGGATCTTATACCACTCTCTAACAGCCTAACAGGGCGTACGTTCTGTAGTCTCATGTCATGATGTAACAGATCACTATATGTCCATTTGCTTGTCCGCAACTCAAACGGGTATATTGTGCTTTCGATTATTCTTTTTTTTTCGTTTTTTGGTTTTCATATTTACTCAATCACTTGTTCTAACTCTCATTGTCCGTGGCGATACAAAACCGATCACTTTGCTTTCGATTATACGTGTAATCTCGTGTCGAAAATGGATCTTATGAAACACACAACAAGTATGGATCCGCCATTATGTTAAACAAAAGCTATCTTATTCGGTTGCCAATAACTTGGGCGAGCTTCAGAAAGAGCATCCAAGGGACAATACATTAAACTATATATACACATAGATGATAGATTACAGACATTTCATCATCAGCTGTGACCCTGTTTCCCAATTTTACTAGTCCACATGATGCACATAATAATAATAATAATAATAATAATAATAATAATAATAATAATAATAATAATAATAATAATAATAATGGCAGTACTACAAACAACATCGTTGCTTACTTGCTTGCTTGTGGACACAAAAATCGAATCCGACATTTCAATATAATTATCAAGTTATGTCTAAAACGTACGTGGGAAGTGGCCAAGTTGAAGTATTTTAATCACATATACATCGGGTTAATCCCTTAATTAATCAACATAACCTAGTCATTAGGTATTTGTATATGTCCATGGCGTCAACGGAAACACAATTCGTATAGTTCATAACACATTTAATAATCCATTTTTAATCAAAGGTTTCAAACTAGTATATATAATTATACCATTCGGATCAAATCCATGATTTATTTGTTATAGATAGGGTAAAATTCTCAAGAAACAACCTGCTTAAATCACTTTTATCAATCAATTCGCAGCTTCGAATCGAACTTCAAATCCAAAATGTCTTAACTTACCTAATGACACTTTTCAATCAATTTATTTCACATTTTATGATACTTGTTGCCTTGATGGAAACATATCAAAGTTAATGTGTGAGAATATATATGGCAATTAAAAAGTAAAGCTTGTGCTTAATAAGCAATGCTGTCAAAGCCGAGCCGGAGTATGACCCGGTAACGTGAACGGCTCGGTCATTAGTGGTCCAGCCGGCATTAGACCGTTTAAAAACCGTTTGAGAACCGGTACCTAATAAATCAGCAAATAAAATGAGATTAACGTTTCCTTCACTTACCTCTGGATTTTGTAAGTAACTACCTTAGATAGGTAGCTAACTACCTTCTTCTACTAATTGCTAATTAAAGGAAAATGCCAATTAGTACTGTCCAATTAGCAACTGATTGAAGGAAAATGCCAATTAGTACTGTCCATTTTACCTCGGCAACGAATCGGATGGGGAATCGGCGGGCAGGCGAGAACGAGAAGGAGCTAGCTACCTTCTTCTACCGTCTTCCTCCTCGGCAGCGAGAACGAGAAGGAACGGCGACGAGGAGGACGACGACGGGGAAGACGACGATGGAGACGGCGCTGGGGAAGATGGCGATGGCGACGAGGAGGAACGGCGACGATGGATTTGCGGCGACGAGGAGGAACGGCGACGAGGAGGACGACGATGGAGACGGGGAACGGCGATGACGACGACGACGGGAGGACGACGATGGAGACGGGGAACGGCGACGAGGAGGAACGGCGACGATGGAGACGGGGAACGGCGGCGATGGAGACGGATTTGGAGTCGGAAGCGGCGCTTCCTCTTCTCCACGAAGAAGAATGAAAAAAATTAGGGTTCTGCTTCTGCAGAACAGCCCGACCCCGACCCCCTTTAATTTTCGAATTTTTTTTTAATTAAACCAACCGATCGAATTAAAAAAACCGGACGACCGGCTCGAGCGGTTCGAGCGGTTAACCGCTTGGGCCGCTCGCCGGCCGCCCCAAAGAACCAGTCCGGCTAAATAGCTCATCCGAGCCAGTTTTGTGCCCGGTTGGCGGTTTTGACGGCTCGGCCGGCCGGCTCGGCTCGGTTTTCACAGCACTGTTAATAAGTAACGAAAGCAAATGAAGGGTGTCATGAAGGCAAGTAAAGGGTTACATGTGTTGAATAAGATTGATTTTTTGGTTGCTCACATTGGAAGGAAAACACCAATCAACTTATCATGACAAAGAATCGATTACCTTATAATTTTTTTTTTATTGTCCCAAATGATAAAATCATGGCCAAGCAAGCAAGCAAGTCGCCTAATGAAAGCTCCATTGACCCCTCTCCCCCTTATCAATCCCTTTTACAATGTGGAACCTTTTCTTTAATAAGGAATCTTTGAGACATCTCAAAAGACCCATAACTTACAAACCAAGAAAGGGTTTAGATCTCCTAACAAACAACATCAACATGCAAAACTCTCCTTTTCCAACGACGAAATGATTTCCGTTGAAAGGTATGTAAAAGTTTGATGACCATGGTTATCGATCAAATCGTCATGATGATATGTGATTCAAGGTACACGATTTTGCTGATAGCCTTCGTGATGATACTCTCCAGTCCACCATGATAACAATTAGATACCAAATCAGGGATTAACCGTCAATCAAAGTATATATTGATTTTAATTTTAGTTTTACCATTATGCAACACTCTGTAAAGTTTTATTATGAATTCTAATGTGCTCGTATTAGCTGTTGCTTCGGTACACATAACTTACAAAACCTCATTGTACACATTAGTAGTCACATTTTATTCCCTTTCAACTAATTATCATGATGCCTTAAATTCATTGATTTTGATGTTCAGTCTGATTCTAATCATCGTCGTCATAAGAACACCTAACGATTTGGATCGACGACTTACATGAATTTGTTGAATACCTAAATGTGAAATTTCTCAAAAGGGTTATTAAATCTTTTGCCAAATGAATTGCCTTGTATAGTTGTATTCCAAACTTGATTGTCAAGTGAACTTTGAGTTTCAGACGTAAGCAACAATATAAGATGCTTCAGATTCCAATTTCCCCTATAGGTATTAGTTACAAGAGAGACTTGACATGGAACCAACAAAAGCTATTTGGCTGTTTCACCCGCACAAGCAATTAATTTGGACAATTTTTTTTAACTAAATTCACATCTTTCGTGACAAGTCATTGTGATATAAATAAAAACATAAAAAAAGAGAATATATGTGAAGATATTATCAATGCATAATATATATATATATATTTATACTTAGCTTCTAAATTTGACAATTGGGAGCTCCCAACCACTTCTCTTATATTATTATTACTATAAGAATATTTTTCAACTACCCACCTGAACTATGACTTGAGTTTGTGGTTAACAACTAATTTTGACCTCAATGGGAGACCTTGATTAGATAACCTGGCTAGGTAGACCTAGCTATAACATTAAGCATTGTTGATCAATGACTTTCCTCTTTAACATATTTACCTATTCTTTCTTTTCAAACCAATCACAGTCACTGTCGACAACAATGATCGATCCTCTTAGTAGTGGTGTCGGAACCACGTTGTATTCACGAGGGATATAGCTCCTCTCAACTTTCAAATGTAAGTAAATTTACATGTAAAGTTTGTAACAAAAAATTGTAAAATAGATTAGTTGGTAAGGTTATAGCCTCCTCCCCAATGATCATATGGTTCAAATCGCTCAAGAGTAAAAAAATTAGCCCTTTCTTGTTTAGATTTATGGTTTCGCCGCTGCCTCTTATCACGGGGTATCCCTTATACAACAACAACTATAACACCTTACTATGGGCGATTTCACGAATAAGCGACTGACTAGAACATGAGCTTTATTCTCGTGGACAGAGACCGAACTCTGACTGTTAGTAAATGCTATGAGATAAATAATTGAATGTCTCACAAGTGGGAACAACTTGAGTTATTGTGACAAATTGGTTTGTGACTTGGTATCAGTGTTGGTTTGTCCTTACTCCTCACGACCCCCCAATATTAGATATTTATCTTAAAGCACATGATATGGTCGGCCTGTGTAAACTTCAAGCCGGCGAGTTAGCTATAATACTAGGTTATGAACTACTTCCTCGCACTACCCGCATAGTTAAAGAAGCGAGGCGATCAACCACCACACCACAACCTATGATTAGTGGTTACCTTCTCTCCCCCCTTGGTTGAGCTTGAGAGTCCAATTCCATGCATTACACTCTAATCCATATTTTGCTTAAGCAGATACGTCTCAGTTAGCTAATTACTATACAAACACATGTCAATCGGTTTCAAATAATCTCATCTATGATCTAATCCCAACTGCTTAATTCGTTGGGGGAAAATATCTCAGTAGGTGAAGGGTTGGCTGGGTTATGATGAGAGACGCATCCAAATAGAAATCATTTAATATTTTGACTGCAATTAATTTGTAACGGTTGGATCTTAATCACATGGTTCGTCATTCACAATAATCCTTTATTTTTATTTTTGTTTTGGTAGAAATCCCTTATTAATTAAATCCTACGAAACCGGGTCAAAGCAGGGATTAGGCCAACAAATCTTATAAGCTAACAACCCTTTATTTCACAGATAATTACAAATTTCCCCACGCGCTTGGCTGTCTGTCTGTGTCACTTACTCCCCCCGTCATACGTTAATTACACAAAACATTAATCCTCGTAATTAACTCTTCGTAAACTTTTTGGAATCACCAGCTAGACGGACAAGTGGTTGTACTATTTTGTATGATTTTGTTTCAAATATCGATTCGGTTTAGTGCGTTAAATGATATTCATTGTTATATTTTATTTCATCGTTTTTTGGTGTTATTACACAAAAGTAAGTTTTAGAGTTATTCAACCGGTTGCATTTGTCTGAAAATCGGATACTCCATGAAGGATTGAAAATCGTCGAGATGAGGTGAATTAAAAACCTTTTTCCAAAATATATTTGATTCACTTGAGAAAGTAAACACACATTATATAGTTTTTCTACATTGTGTTGAATGAGATTTGTGCGAGAGGAGAAGAGAAGATCATCCTGTGAGATTCGAACTTTGAGGTTTTCAAGTTGAAAGCCAATGATGATAACTCTTGGCAAAGTGATTACTTAGGGCGAGAAGAGGCTAAAAATAACAAACTGTAATAGTTTTCACGATTGAACCCCATATCACCATGTTTTAAATTATTTCTCGTAGTATGACTACATGTATGATAATCTTAATTGGGTCGAAAATTGGAGGGATCATAGTACTCGTGAATTACACACAGCTCCACCACCGGTAAAATAATATCACTAACCCAAACTCACAAGCTAACTACAATATGTAATTGCATCATACTGCGCTGGATGGTTTGATTAACTACACATTAATTCTTTGATGAAAGTTCTCCTATTCTTAATCAACCCCCCTCTTGATTTTGTTTATGGGGGAATTTTTTGTTGAACTTAACGCAATTGATCAGTTGATTTGGTCAATTTTATTCACAACCCCTCATTATTCTAACTAATACAATACCTCTTAAATAAGTTTCATCGAAACTCTTAATCTCCTAGCTAGACTATTATTAGATTCCAACGGTTAAATTGTGGTACTGACAGCACAAATTAATCATTAATTCTCATACAGTTATAACTAGCAATACGCATAAAAGAAACGTAATTGAGTTATTACTTATTTGGAATTTGACGGATAATTACCAAATGATCATTTCACATTTTCACTAATCTGGCCGACGGGAGCAGTGACAATATTCTTTGTGTGGCTCGTACCAGTGACAAGAACAAGTTGTACAATTGCATCGTTCTCAACTTCTTCTAGTAATTACGTGCTTAATTAACTATTAAAATGAGGTCATAATTTTCCACACATAAAATTCGAGCTTAATTAATCATCTCCAGCTGCGTATTATATTTCAGCCAGAAGGGGAAGAAGAACAAAATGGACGGGAAATCGGCATTGACCGGAGGGACAGGTGGAGGGCTGCGATGGGACGGAGGAGCTGCCGCCGGTAAAATAAAAATTGTTTGCACTGAAAGCGATCGGGGTTTGTGATAAAATTTAGGGCCGCGATTGGTTCGAGATGCTGGGGGAAAGAAAGTGGGATTTAGTCGGCAGGCCGATTCCGGGATAGAGGCAGAGTTCGGTCCTCTGTTTTTCTCCGGCTGGCGGGACCCGCCGGAGCACCGCCTTTTCTCCGCAACCAAACAAAAAAAACGTAACCCCCCAGAAAAGGAAAGCTAGTGAAGAGATTAGCAAAATGAAAACCCAGGTTATACTTGAGCGGGTTGGGTGTGTTTTTGACCGGTGTATTTCGAGTAGTATCATGAATAACAACATGTTAGAAAGAAAAAAAAATAGTCCTATTCTTCTTCCCTTGATGAACATTGTTTATGTATTAAGTACGTTGGATTAAATTGGTTTGAGAGTGAAGAGATTTCAGGACTCTGATTTTATAAGTGCATGATGAATTTAATTGATTCGAGATTAATAAACCTGTAAGCCTCGAACTTTATAAGTGTCAAGATTGATCAACACAAGTTAGTAGAAAATCGAAGGGCAACGTCAACAAAATCGAACTACACTAGTGACAATTGTGCGAGACGGCCTTTGGAGGCTTGTCAAACTCCTAATTACCCTAATTTCTTAATGTAGATACTTTGTTTTTATATTTCTTGGGGGTAATTTCACACACCCAACTCACAATAAAAAAATACATAGAGAAACATGTTAGATACTACGAGACATTTGGGTTGATCTCACTGGAGGTAAGATGACGAGTATGGGATTCTCGATTTGAGGTTAAAAGACTTTCGATTTATCTTCTTAATTACGTGGTGGTCTTTAACGCAAATATTACTTGTTGATTTGACCAAAAAAAAATATTACTTGTTGAATCAATGGGGGGGAAAAGAACAAGTTATTCGAAATGCACAATCTCTAACAACTCTTGTCGCTAATTGGAATGAACTAATAAAACTTTAGTTGAATGATGCATTTGAACCTGAAGCTTCATTCAAATAGTCCAATATTCTAATCATTTAACTATAGAATTTTGTTGACTTGGTTTCACTAGTTTTTCTACCGTTAATTTTTATGCAAATAATGGATTCAATTTATAATTTTGTATAAAGCACAAAATAAATAAAGATAATTAAGACAAATGAAACTCATTGATCATTTTGGTTACATAGATTCGACTTTGTAACAAAAGAACGTCTAACAATGCTGAGTCCTAATATGCCAGACTATACCATTGGAACAAAAAAAACTTTATTAGAAGGAGAAATGTATTTATGGACAAAAAAAAAAAAAGGAAAACGAAACAAAATTCGTGGGAAATGTATTTGACAATATTGTTCGAGGATTTCCTTTCCGTTGTATTGCAACAGAAGAAGAAAGACAAAAACGGGCGAGAGGCAGAGAGAGAGAGAGAGGAAAAACAAAAGGAGTCAGTCTCCCATGGTCTCGTCGTTCCTCTCTTCTCTTCCTCCTCCTTTCTTTTGCAAACTCCGGCGCCCGATTGCTCTCCAGTTCACTGACCGTCGGTAACCAACGAGAACCGGACACTACAAACGCCGTCGACTTCCTCTGTAATTCTTACAATCGGAAAATGAAGAAGAAGAAGAACGGCGGTCATCATCATCCTCATCATCACTACAACTGCCCCGCCGCAGCTCAGCTCCACCAGATTTCCCTCATCCTCCGCTGCCGCCGCGGCGGCCACTATCTCTTCCCGTTGATCTCGGCCTTGTCCGCCTCCGTCCTCCTCTTCCTCGCCGCTTTCGCTCTCCTCTCCTCTCCGCCGCCTCTCATCGAACGCCGCCACCTCCTCCAGCTCCCTCGCCGCCATTCCCCCTTCTCCTCGCCATTCGTAATCATCGTCATCTCATTCTTCGTCGCCGTCTCTTTCAATTCGTGTATTTAGCGAATTCGTTCTCACTCTTCTGATTTTAATTTGAAAATCACAGTCCGGCAGTGCAGTCAGGGACGAGACGGAAGAACCGGATTCCGGTACATTGACGACCTTCCGCGTTCCGGTAAGCGTCGATGAAACGATTAATACGAGCGAACTGTGATTTTTTTCTCGCCGGAAAAAACTATGGCTCGATTGAATCCTGGTTTGATTCCATTCGGCGCCCCGTTGAGATTTTCTAATCCCTTGTGTTTCGGTGTGTTTGTTTGGTTTCGTTAGGAGCGCGGCGGAAATTTAGGCCACGACCTGTGGAGCTCTCCATCGTCGGAATTCTTCTACGGTTGCAGCAACGCCAGCGATAAGTTCCGGAGTAAGTTCCTCCGATTTCAGTGCCCAACCCCGCCGCTCCGGCTGGCCGGCGCGGCGGCGTCTACTTCTTTTCCGTGTTTTTCTCCATTTTGACGATTTCAATAACCTTCTGGATTGGATTGGAGTTCACGAAAAATTTCAACTATCTCCGAAACAAAAGCGGACGATTCCGAACTTTTTTCTTCTAGAGTTTGGACGTTTCCTCTAGCTTTTGTGCGTTTTGGCCCACGGCGGATTTTGGACTACTTCAATTTTCCCCTCTTTCCCCATCTTTTGTTGTCTTCTTCGCGTGTACTCTGTTTACTCTGCTCTACAACTTATGAGGGTAGAAATGGAATGGAAATCTATGGTGTGGAAGGATTAGACCTTCAAGCTTCTGATGGAACCCGTGTTTTCTTGGTGCAGCCGCTGAAAAGAAGACGGAACAGAATCGGTACTTGTTGATCGTCACCAGTGGTGGGCTGAATCAGCAGAGAACTGGGGTGGGTAATTGGTTCTTTGATTTTGTTCTGTAATTGCAAAATTCAATCCTCTGTTGGAGTTCGTCACTGGTTCAATTAGACTGTAGATATTCAGCATCCATTTGATCCTCACTTCGATTGCTTGTGACAATGGCTGCAGATAACGGACGCAGTTGTTGCAGCATATATCCTGAATGCCACTCTCGTTGTTCCAAAACTGGACCAGGCATCCTTCTGGAAAGATTCAAGGTAAACCGATTGCAATGTGATTCCATGTTCCTATTCACTTCTGAAGAATTCAGACTCATTCATCTGGGTCTTCTCTGGGTATGCAGCAATTTCTCTGAGATATTTGATGTGGAGTGGTTCATTTCATCCCTATCCAAAGATGTGCGAATCATCAAACAACTGCCAACAGATGGCGGGAAGGTTATCACTCCGCACTCCATGCGGGTTGCCAGGAAATGCACCCCATCGTGCTACGAGAAGAGAGTTCTTCCAGTCCTCAACAAGAAGCATGTATGCCTAGCTTTTCGACCTCACGTTCGAAACTCAAACATCTGTTGTTCTTCGGGTTTATGAACTGTTCAATGTGTTCTCTGGCAGGCTGTTCAGCTAGGAAAGTTCGATTACCGGCTTTCCAACCGGCTGGACCCGGACTTACAGAAGCTGAGATGCCGAGTCAACTACCACTCCTTGAAGTTCACTGATCCAATCGTTGAAATGGGTGAGAAATTGGTTCATAGAATGAGAAGGAAGAGCAAGCACTTCATTGCTCTCCACTTAAGGTAATCATCCCAATCAATTAAGCTCTTGTTCTCCATTCTCCTTTCCACTTCAACTAGATTCATCGATCTAATATGACGAATGAACATATGAACATAGGTTTGAGCCTGATATGCTCGCATTCTCGGGGTGTTACTACGGAGGAGGAGACAAAGAGAGGGCAGAACTCGGCGCCATTAGGCAGAGATGGAAGAGTCTACATGTGAGAGACCCGTTTGTGAACTTCACTAAACTAACTTTCTGGTCTCTTATGGAAAACCATTACTGACACTCTTTTGAGTAATCTTTGGGGTATATAGCAGAAGAATCCAGAGAAGGAGAGAAGGCATGGAAGGTGCCCGTTGACGCCAGAGGAAGTGGGGCTAATGCTGAGATCGTTGGGCTTCGGCAGCGACGTCCATATCTACGTTGCTTCAGGGGAAGTATACGGAGGGGAAGAGACTTTGGCGCCACTCAAATCCCTCTTCCCCAATTTCCACTCGAAAGAGACCTTGGCCAACAAGGAAGAGTTAGCAGCATTCGCACCCTTCTCTTCCCGGATGGCTGCCTTGGACTTCCTCGTTTGCGACGAAAGCGACGTCTTCGTCACCAACAATAACGGCAACATGGCCCGAATCTTAGCCGGACGGCGGTACCTAAGCTCGATTTTCATTTTCTCAGTCCTTTCCTCATATTGTCCATATCTAAAGCCCCCCTCATCTTTGTTTTACAGGAGATACTTCGGGCACAAGCCAACGATCCGCCCCAACGCAAAGAAGCTGTACAAGCTCTTCCTGGGTCGCCGGAACTCGACGTGGGAGGAATTCAGCGCCAAGGTCCGATCAAGTCAAATCGGGTTCATGGGGATGCCGAACGAGGTGAAGCCTGGAAGAGGCGAGTTCCATGAAAACCCTTCTTCCTGCATATGCGAGACCAGAAGGAATGATAATGCGGCCTCCCCTGATGCGGATAAGAAGAGATACGCCGACGGCAGCACCGGCGATGACCGGTCGTCGGCGACGGCGGAGGATGAGCGCGAGCAGTACTATTTCTCCGACTCGGAGACGGCAGTTCCCAGCGGGTTGGCCCAGGTAGCGGAACTCGACGACGACGAGTTCTTTTCAGACTAGAAATATATACCGGCGGTACGTGCCTTCGTCGGGAGGTTTCCCCCCCGGCATCTTGTAAATACAAAGGAGCTTTGTGTCAGACTCTTGACGCCGTGAGGTTGCCGGTAGACTATATACAGTAGTACAGAATGCCGTTGGAGAGAATCTCTCTCCGACGGTTTGTCTGTCTCTGTTATTTTTTGTTTTTATCTTTTTCCATTTCACCTTGGGGTTAATTAGTTAGCTGGGGTTGGTTGTTATTATTGCCGTAAGGCTTGAGAGATTAGATTAGGGAGGGGAGGGGTCTAAATACTAAAATGGGACTTGCTTACAAGTTACAATGCTTGCTTAGTCGTTTTGTACGACTAGTTTTTGTTGTCCCATTTTGTTGTTCCTTTTTTTGTTCCTTTTACAGAGTGTAGTAATTGATAGTAATAACGATATTGCTCCTCCATATTATTTAGATGCTTGGATTAATGGTACAAGTAGATTATGATTATTGGATACTATGGATTATGTACATTTTCTGGATTTTTAACGATACAGGTTAAATCAATCGATTAGTTACATGTAGGAGTTAACATCTATAATCATAGCAAGAGATTCTCTACCAATTCATTTGATATCGAAAAGACGGTGTCTGATCCCTTTCTCTCTATACATATAACTCTCGCCTCATCCTGATTGGATTTGGGATTCTAGCTCCAAATACAAATTGATAAACGAAAAAGAGTCCGAACCGGAAATGGAAAGCAAAGTGAAGAAAAATGGAGGCTTACCAATAACCAAATTACTCTACATGTGCGCTTTTATATTCAGTGTCTATGGATGGTTGAGTGGCTAGACTTATCACACTCTGCGCAGATCTGTATCACAATCAAACTCATCAACTGATTTTCGAACTCCTTCCCGGTTCAAAATAATTATACAAACGATATTACTTATCTAGATTATCTCAGTTTTTGATTAATTGTATCGATATGCTATCATTATGAGCTATATATATACATTATGATGGTTTTGGATGAATGATAACGGTAGATTATAACGATGAATCATGTACATTATTCGAGATTTGAAAGAATGATATTCATAGGTTGTGACTATGAATTATGTACACTAGTTTTTTTACCCGCGCTCTGCGCTGGGATAAGTATTATATTTCAGTTCATCCTAAGAGAAGAAAATTAAACTAAGTAATTTACATCACATGAACGCACAGTTGACCGTACCTAGTCTCCAAAACAAAGACATATTTTTCATTTTAATCTCCAAGTAAAAGCAGCATAAGGACACATTGAAAGTTGAGATTGCACCAAGAAATAACTACATAATGTAATCAGTACAAAAGGATAACATGTTTTCAGTTTGCTAATTAATGAACATGTTTAATCAACTCAGCTAAATTTAAACAAAAAAAAATCCTATCTACAAATGAACTCTTCCTTGTCCAAGATTTTCAGGGGAATTATGCAGCTTAGCAAGCAAACTGAAGCCTGCCAAATAGTTACAGGTAGCCCAGAAAGCAATTACAATCTCAGTGGGAGATAATTAGCACACTTTCTCAACAAAATAAGTCTCCCTAACCAACAAAAACTCATTCCAATCAGCACACGTTTAAACCATTTAGTTTTCACAGAAACACATAACAATTACATACATTCTAAAGAACTTGGTCAGAAGCACACCATAGATCAATTACAGGCCCACATTCATACATTCATCACTTCAAACCCACCTATCAGCAACAAATATTACTCCACAAAAAGAAGTTCCCTGATCAACAAACTATCAACAATGAGATCAACACTCACCTGCTTAGGAAGGAACAAAAGAATAACAAACTTAAACATAAACAAATCCTAGCAAGTTTTGAAAAGCAAAGCAGAAAGAGCCCCAAACCACTTCAATTGTGCTGCTTCATTTATGTAATGAGAATCATGGTTGCAATTAGAGTCATGTGAACCAACTTTAATGTAATGAGAATCTTTGGTTCAGTAGCTTCTAAAAGCCAACCATTAAGAAACCAAACTGGGAATGTACATTAAGAAATCTCAGAAGCCAAGCATCACCAAAGGACAACATTTTGGAGAGCACAACATATTATGTAAATAAAGAAAACCCAGAACAAACTTGAATTCAGATTCTTCAATGCTAGAGAACTGCATCGATCTGGTGACACCATGGCATCTCATCTGTCGGCCACAGATTTTGCAGGAAGAGACCACAACTGCCTCTTAAATGATGGGATCAGCTGTGAATTTAACAGAAATGATCTACGTAAACTGAATTCTCCGGAGATCTCAGCATGCTTTTTTAGCATACAATGTTAGTATGGAACCTGTAACAGATGAATTGAAAAACAGAAATGGGTTAACATCAAATTACAGAGAAAACAATATAGGCACAGAGACGAAAACGGAGAACAAATCAAATGCACTCTCGGCAGGGAGGAGATGATGTCAACAAAATATGGGAAGGATAGCTTTAACTGAAATCCAGAAGATTCGATTTTTTCTGAGAAGAACTGGTAGATCTCTCCGTGTGGTCAACCAGATTAAAGAACTAATTAACATTGATAGTCTCAATCTGCACAAAAAATAACCAAAGAACTAATTAACATTGATAATACCTTGCTGGCACAAACTGAGTAAATTTCAAGAACCTAAAACTAAAACGCATAAGAAACAGAGTAGAAGATTGAGGTATGCATGATAAAAGCTTTTGGGAATTCGCCTCCAATGTCTAAATTGGCTTGTTCCATGACCAAACAACCCTGCTACAAAACCTTAACGAAATAAAGGAACATATTAGGTTTCATAACAAAACCATGGGCAACAAAATTAAAACGCAAAGGATAAAAGCTCTTAGGAACTTGCATATTTGTGCAGACAGTGTGCTCTTTCCACATTGATGAGTAGAAGGCGTAGAATGATTGTGAGTTCCTCACACACACATCAGCGGAAATCCAGGTTGCCCCCTCTCAAATACTCTTGTCGGCTAGCGATCTCCCCCAGACTCCAAACCCAACGATTCCAGAACCATACCAGACATCATTCCCATGTTCATCAAGCACCTGCTTATCTCCGCCTTCAGCTTCCTCACTCGTTTCTCATACACGTGGCAGCACCAAATCCAACACCCAAGAAAATACGTACCCTTCCATAACCAGCCACCGTTTCTATCTTGCGTCAGTAGCATCACGTTAACCAGAAGATCGAAGAGCTCATGCCGGTGTACATAACCCCTTTAGCCTCATCGAGGTGGCAAAAGCAAAACACCTTTCAAATCTGCAAAAACCCATCAAACAATCCTCCATTTCATATCACGGAACCCACTAAACAATACTCAAACTCAACAGAGGCAAAGAGAAGAAATGTTCACCTGAAGCCAAGAAGAACCAACGATCCGAGTCTTCCCCACATACTCTCTGGATCGTAAATACCAAATGTCCTCTTCGTCGGAGACTCACCGTAACCCAATGGGTTCAATGATTCCATGGCCCCTGGCAACGACCACGGGGCTGAGATGAGAGAGAGAAGAGGGAGAGACGAGATGCTGCAAGGAAATTGAGAGAACTGAGAGAGAAAAGCAAGAGTGATATCATATTTGTAAGAAGGCTTTCCAACTTCCACCGTGTTGCAGTCAAAAAGTAATAATGACGGAGACGGAAAAAATCATGATGAGCAGACCTCCCTCTTCGTGAAGATTTGGCTGGGATTTTTTCCTCTCTGATCTATCCAGTCACTGACCCTCTCTCTTCTCTCTGCAAGTTGAGAAGACTGCGTTCAATCAGAAGGGCAATAAACCATCTCTCATAAAAAAGCATTGATGGGACAAATCGGCGATTGAAATCCCCGTTCCCACAGTATCCATCAGCAAACCCTCAACACCCAAAAATCACCGGCCCCACAAAAGCAACTTTGTGACCAACGCGATTTTTCTCTCAGCATTCTCCAGATCACCCCAAACAAAAGCAAGAAAGAGCACACGACAAACGACGGGAGGATGACTCAAAGGCCCCACCACAACTCATCAACCAATCAAAATTCGGTGAACAGGAAAATTGAGTCTGTATGAACAGGAAAAGCAGTCTGAATGTACAGTACCAGTTGTTTTGAGCTATTATACTTTTAATTATTCTTGGTTTTGGATGCATGGTATTTCTTAGGCTTTTGAATAATAAGTTGAATATGAGTTGAACCTGCTACCCAACGAAGGCTTATACGACGCCGTGCAGCCAGTCTAGTTGAGCACAAACGACAATGGCGCGAAATGGGTCGTATAAAGGAAGGGGTAGGACACGTGGCGGTAAACGTAATCCACATCTCAGAATCAGGACGTGGCAGTTTCCTCGTCCATTCTTCTTCTCGTCTTTTCCCCTTCATCTCTTCTGCCAGAGTCCGCTTACTCACACACGAAGAAATACCTTAACAATGGCGTTCCGGCTTCCCGCTCAGCTCGCAACGGTGCCATCCAACGGCCATTCTCATCAGCTCGCCGCCGTTCCCGCGGCTTCTTCTTCACTCTCGTGGCGCCGCAATTTAGTTCCTCACCTCCCTCTCTTCTCCCCATCCCCTCCATCTTCCGTCTCCGGTACTGCTAATTACCTCGCTCTCTCGTTCTCATAGCTCGATTCTTCCGTTTTCCGCTTCTCAGTGAGTTGAATTGAACAGGGAAATGCTACCTACGGCCGGCGGTGAGTTGCAATGCGGCGAGTGCCGCGGCAGCTAATTTGGCGCCGGGGACTCCCGTCCGCCCGACGAGCGTGCTCGTCGTCGGAGCCACTGGAACTCTCGGCAGGCAAGTCGTCAGGCGAGCGCTCGACGAAGGTTACGAAGTGAGGTGCCTCGTCAGACCTCGTCCCGCTCCCGCCGATTTCCTCCGCGATTGGGGCGCCACCGTCGTCAATGTACATATCTCTCTCGGATTTCCCCTCCAATTCTTATTCTCAGGCTTAATTTTGAATTCTCTGAGCAGGCGGATCTCAGCAGGCCGGAGACAATCCCGGCGACGTTGGTTGGGATTCACACGGTGATCGACTGCGCCACTGGCCGTCCCGAGGAGCCGATTAAAACGGTAAGCAACCCTAATTCGATGGGAATTGGACTGGATTGGTAATTCTCTGGTGTGAACGAAAACCCTAATCCACGAGTGTTCTAGTGTTTAGGTAGACTGGGAAGGGAAAGTTGCGCTTATACAATGTGCGAAGGCAATGGGGGTACAGAAATATGTGTTCTATTCGATCCACAACTGTGACAAGCATCCCGAGGTTCCGTTAATGGAGATCAAGTACTGCACAGAGAAGTTCCTCAAGGACTCTGGACTTCCTCACATCACCATACGATTGTGTGGCTTCATGCAAGTAATAAACAATGCTCTTCCATTCCCACCAATCTTCAATCTTCTTTCATAGTTTTAGACCAATAGCTTGTTTACTGATTGTTCTACTACCAGGGTCTGATCGGGCAATATGCGGTGCCTATATTGGAGGAGAAATCCGTGTGGGGAACCGATGCTCCTACGAGAATCGCGTATATGGACACTCAGGTAGTACAACTTAACATCTGGAAAAGCATGCTTTTCCCCCACTGCATTCTCAAGTTTTGGTCTGTTTGTTGGTGTTGATAGGATATAGCTCGATTGACATTCATAGCTCTGAGGAATGACCAAATCATTGGGAAGCTCCTGACTTTTGCCGGTCCTCGAGCTTGGACGACTCAGGAGGTAAACAAAGAGGAGCAGAACCGGATGAGCCCTTAAAGTAGATTGTATGTCTCCTCTATTAAGAATGTTTGTCGTCTTGATGCCAAACATTATGGGTTGTGGTTATGGTCCAGGTGATAGCACTGTGCGAGAGGCTGGCCGGACAGGACGCCAATGTAACCACAGTTCCAGTCTCGGTCTTGCGGTTCACCAGGCAGCTGACAAGGTTTTTCGAGTGGACGAATGATGTCGCTGATAGACTGGCGTTCTCAGAGGTAAAATCCTGAAACCAATTGCTAAATGTTACAAGTGGAAAAGGATTATTGTGATCTCATGAGGTAGATGGGGGAAATGATGATGTATCAGGTTCTTTCGAGCGACACCGTGTTCTCCGTCCCCATGGCGGAGACGTACAGCCTGCTGGGTGTGGACCAGAAGGAGATTGGGAGCCTGGAGAAGTACCTGCAGGACTACTTCACCAACATATTGAAGAAGTTGAAGGACCTCAAAGCTCAATCTAAGCAAACTGACATTTACTTTTGAAATGCTATGTTGTTATATACTTGTATTCATGGAACTGTAAATTTTCTACACGAGGAGCAGGCTCGGGATTGATGTACGAACTGATAGATGATTGACTATCAACGAAATTCCTTCACCTTGTAGTCTCTGACTCTCTGTAAGTTTCAATCTCAGGTTCCCTTCTTTATCTTGCTGCCATGGAATGATCTTTGGGCCTGGCCCAATCAAATTCGGACTGGGTCCGAGAATCGGAGTACTTAAGATTGGGGCGATGCAAGAGTGGTGGGCTTGCGTGGATTCCAGTTCGAGGAGCTTTTGGTTATGGGGGATTGATTTGATTCGAAGAAATCCGAAATCCCGTCTGAGAGGGAAATCATAGCCCATGATTGGGGTGGAATGTGGAATATGTGCAGATGAGCTTTTACGCAAAATCAGTGTCGAATCATTACAGAAAGTGGGTGGGTTGGTTTGGGTTGGGTCGAGTCAAGAAGGATCATAGGACAGTTTTGGGCGGGTATGTCGAGAAATTCGTCTCATGACAAGTTGAGTTCATATTGGATAATTTATTACGGGGTGTGAATCGGGAAAATTTGATCTATGTGTATATGTAATTAAAAAAAAACATTAGAAAGAAATACCGAAATATTGATAAAAATTATATTTAATTTAGATGATCAAGAATGGAACATGGGTCGAGCGGAGTACTCATTTCCACCTCGCCTATCACCCAGGTATTACCCACCATAAAACACAGGTCAAACAAATCCGATAAAACATATTAGGTTACTGGGTTTTTGATTGAAGAGATCAAATTTACAAACTCGATTTGCTACCTACCAGCAGCAAGGGGCAGGGGCCAGAAATAAACTGTTGGAAGCCATTAATGAATTGGTACGGATGAACAGTAAATTGAGTGGGACTACATAGAATTGTTCGTAGTCCCCTGTTTTTACCTCCAACAAAAAAACAGAGCATCCTATAGAATTCATTCATTCATTCATTCATTCATTCCCATCATGTAACGCGTTATAGTATTCATGCCTATGTTTGGCCATCCTATCCCTCCCTCCATACTTTTCCCTATATATCCATTGGATTTGTCGGCTCGAATTGTCAAATGCCCAATCCCCTCTCTGTTCCTTTCCCTTTCATCCTCTTTTCCATTTCCCGGCCCTCACTGTTCTTAGCTTTTACATGACCATCCTGGCTAGGGTTCCTGGTAGGAGGTATTCGTAAGCTTGCGTTCGATGCAATACGATAGTCGTTTGAACGGAAACAAACGCGATAGACGAGCGAGTTCATGTTCGCGTGATGTATGAAACGACGGACAATAATAAACATGATCAGACGCGCGCGACCAAACCTTCTCAATTGTAGATAAATTAACTTTAATCGCACGTTTTTTTCTTTTTTCATACTGTTTCAATCGAGTTATACTTAATGCGAATTTGACCCATCGACACCATAGCAAAAGTTTTGGTACATGACCTCTTTGTTGTACCATACTTATGTACTCTTCACATATATGGGTGGATATATTGATTGCCCCTTGTAAGGTAATTTTTCGAGAAAAGAAAACCCTTTGGGTGGGTTGAAGAGGCCAAACTTGCAAAAAGGCAAAACCCTAGCTAGTTGGATTCATGGTGTTACTATTTGGAAGAAAGAGACAGGCAAGAACCGAGAGAGATTGCCATGGAGTTGGGATTATATGTAAGGATGAAATGTCATAGGGGTATAGCTAGCTAGTCTTGGTAGGCTGGTTCGAAACTGGCTCAAGAAGCAAAGTATGTTAAGGGTTCTGTTCTGTCTCCCTTTTTGTTTTGCCTTCTTGTTTAGGGTTTAGTGTTTTTAATGTAAGGTCATAATTGACGATACCAAGAAAGGGCATTGGACAATTATTAAGGTTTGACAATACCAAGAAAAATGTATGACAAAAAGACAACACAAAAAAGAGAGGCTAAACATTCACGAGTCGGTTCTTGAATTTTTTTTACAAAAAATTGACAGGCGTATCGCCAAAGTTTGGAATAACTAACATAATCATTAATTTTTTTTTTGTCTATCTTTGTCAAAAAATGTCAAACCGGTTGTTAATTCGAGGATCCGCGTGACAGATGATGAATCGACGTATGGATCTTAACTACTTTTTTACATGCGAAAACTAACTCATGTGTTTGAAAACTGTTTAGGCCCAAAATACCATGTGTTTTAATAAATTGGTAATATCGGGGGCCGTGAGAATTTGAGAACGTGGCATTGCGATCAAACCAGCTTTTATACAATGTTATAAACAATCGATTCTCACTAACTCAAACTATTGGAAGAGGTCCGCTTGTGGATTTTCATCACTTCTTTACATCTGTAGTTGAATCGATCCACTGTTGATATTCTTTTCTCTTTCAATATGAAGCTACGTCAATATCGAAAGATCGAACCATCAACCATGCCCACCCCCAATCAACTAAACTAACGTTTCTCCCCCTTACCTAATGATATCATATTCCTAGCTAGCTAACTAATGATGTGGGGGTAGAATTAGGTGCATTGTCCTTATTGAATTGGGACCATCTGCCCCTTACTATACATAGTTTTCAAATTTGGGAGAAGTTGAGTGCTTCTACCTGTGGCTGTTACCATCCCAATTTGTCATTTCACCTGAATTCAGGGTATTGCAAAATATATGGAATTGAAAAAGGAGGGATTCCATATATGTGCATGATATGATGGCAATGCTTTTTTAGCTTTTAAAAAGGGATGGTAGGGCATGCAGAGTAATGCTCTGGATATTCTTCATCACCCAATCTTACTTCCCAAAGGAGGAATGATCATTAGACAAATGTGCTTTATTACCTGATTCCTGTTACTATTGCTATGCTCTTTTGCAGTTTTGGCTTAAGGCTGCCAGTCTCTTCCACTCCATGGATAAAGCTTAGGCTCTGAAAACTTGTAGTTCATGAACCAATTGAATAGTGGAAAAAAAGTTTTAAGTTTCATATTGTTACTGTTGGTTAGGGGTCAAAAGGTATAGTACGTAACGGTTATGTATTATTCATTATCGATGAACTCGGGTGTTTTCTCATATTGTAAGTTTTTTTGTCATTTTTGTTCCTAAAGACGTATTGCTGCACAATTTTTAAAACAACAACACTTTTTAGAAACTTGCTTGATTGTATTCTCATGTTCTTATCTCAAGGAGAGTCATTTAATTGCGTAGAGTACAAAATACTTATAACTACTTAATCAACCCTAAAAAAACAAGAAGCAAACATCAGAAGATTGTGAAATCATGTCATATACGAACTATAAGCAACAAATATAGTAGCATGATGCCAAAACAATGAAAACCCCATTACAATACCACGATAATCAATATCATACTAGTTGCATCAGATATGTATATTGATTTAACCGGTACGGTACAGGCGATAACGGTACACAAAAATTGGTGGGGAGGAAAAGAGAGAAGACCACCCACCAACCTTTTTCAGCAAAGATCTCATTTCTCTTGCCCCAATTTTCATGCCATGCCCCATTGCCATTTGCACCCTGCAACCAATATCCCTCTGAGTCTGACCAGGTTGGGGCTGAATTTTATATATTGGTGTATTATAGTTTGTGCAATGTTTGGCCTCACAGATCCACTCAGAAGCTCAGAAACCCTAAAGAGGGAGTTAAAAAGAAAAGTGAAAGGGATTGCTTTAAAAAGGAATGAAATGAAGGGAAAGAAAAGTGGCAGTAAGTGGGTGAATCTCAAACTCTTCTTCTGAGTTCTGACTCATAAATCTCTTCCTTTTCTTTTTTTACTTGCTTCAAAGGAAGAAGACCCCAAATTAATTATTTTTAATTTTATTGTGTTTTGTTTTTGGCCTTTTTTTTTATGAAGTGAATAGATATATGTATATTATTGAAAAAATTACAAATTTGTTTCTCAGCACATGGACCATGCAGCTGGACTGTACTATTGTCTGTCAAGCCCACTATGAGACCACCACAGCACCAGTAGCAGTACTACTACTTACACTGACCAGTGACCACTCCATAATCCTTCCTCAGGATGATTTTGGCCAGAGAGATTGTAAATTGCAGTGGTCACTTTGATTTCATGACGATTTCTCCAACTGCCTAGCTAGCTTTCCAATAGTGTTGACTTCTTGAATTTCACACAATGGGTTGTTATTGAAGTTTGAAAACGATTAGCGCGTAGTAATGGTTGTATCGATTTATGCTGAGTTTTTCCGGTCAAATCGATGAGTGGAACATAACTGAGCTACAACGTTGATTAATAACGCTTAGGTAACTGATGAGATATCATTCGGCACAGCTACAGTCTATCATGACCACTATATAACTCAATCATGATGCCATCCATGGAGCTTTTCGAATAGAAGATTTAGGGTTTATATGAATTCAAAGCTCCAAGGCTACCTTTAGCTAGATCTAGAGAACTAGAGAAGGGTTTAGTTGATTGTGTTAAGCACATGAAAGATTAAGAAGAGAAGAAAAGAAAAGGAGATTGTAAATGCAACTTTTGAGACAAATTGCACATGATGATACGAACTAGAGAGAGGATTGTTGGGCCTCTTTTTCATTTATTTGACCACACCAAACCAAAAAAAAAAAAAGAACTCCTTGCAAATTGCAATCGTACTATGGGAAAAAAAAAGAGTTAATAATGGTTGGATATTTGTCTTCTTCTGCTGGAGTGGATCTTTTCCCAACATTGCTTTTGGTGGTTGTCAATTGATCTTCATGTGATCATAAATCATAATGCATTGGGTTTGCTTGCTAGAATGCTAGTTGGTAGTATGCATTGACACCTATGAAACCCACATAAACAAAACCAAAAGAAAAAGAAGCATAAATGGATATGTGGCTCGTAGAATTGTTGTTCATTGATCGTTACAAATTTTTCGATTTTACTGTTTACTGTTTAGTAATTTATAGGTTTATCTGATTAGAGTGATCGACACTATGTATGTATAAACAGTCAAAGTTCGGGCTTCAGATTGGTCTACAGTGCTATCCCTATTGGATTCAATCATTTGTAGGTCTTTTATGAGACTGAATCATCAACCAAACATGCTTCTTAGGACAACAAATCTTCAATTATGCTTCTTGTTGTTTGATGAGGAAAAGGGAGTTTGTCACATGTGGCACAATGTGATGGGTCAATAATGGCGGGGTTAGGGGTTAGTGGAGGGGACACATTGGATTCTTTTCAGTCATGGTTGGGCTCATCTCATCTCATCTCATCTCAATATCTCATCTTTATGCTGGCTAGAGAGAGAGAGAGAGAGAGAGAGAGAGAGAGGAATGGGGAGGCAAGGCAATTTGGTGGGTTTAGCTCTCTACAAAACCTTAAAATAGAGATAGGGCAAAGTTTTTCTCCATTTGTTTTGAGTGGTTTCTGAGTATAGGGGATCAATCAATCCTATCATAGAGATTAGGTTGCGTACTTGAGATTAACAAGAGATTAACCAAAAGGGTTTGTCCCACCAAAACATTCTTCATGTCTGGATGTCATGATCCTTGATGATTCATTCTCAAATATGATCGATAAGCCTTTCATTATCATTATAGTCGGATTATTAAATTTTTTGAAAGAAAATCTATTAATCAAGATAACTTTCACTT